TATAAAAATCAGTTTACTATTGAATTTGAATATTTAATTTATAATTCGTAGTATGAACTTTAGCCAACTAATCAACCAACAATACTGATTGGTTTAGCCTAGTCTCATTTCAAACTAAAAAGCAGATAGAAAAAAAGGAGCAGTACATCAAATCTTGCTGGCTGTAAATTGGTCTATGGAATGGAAAAGTGAACTATTATCTTATTGTCTAGATGACTCAAGTAATTAAATTGTAGATTGCTTAACGATATTTCCACATGCACCAATGCATCCGTTCTCTTTTGATCCTGTCTCATGATATACACAATGGAACAAAGCTGCCTATTGAGGAAATTATTTTTGGAATTCAGTTACGCCTCACATCTACTATCTTTAAATTACAAAGCAAAATATATAAACAAACAGAAGGTGTAGCAATGGGATCACCAATATCCCCTATCGTAGCAGATATATTTATGGACAGCTGGGAAATTACTGCTCTTAACACATTTAATCCTACTCCAAAAATATGGTGAAGATATGTGGATGACACTTTCACAGTGTTAAAAACAGAACATATCTCTAGCTTCTTGACACATATAAACTCACTAGTAGAGGGAATAAAATTCACATTTGAATCGGAAAATGAACAAGGAGAATTAGCTATGTTAGATTGTAAAATAAAACGAATAGAAGAAGGTAAACTACACACTAGCGTTTATAAAAAACCAACGCATTCTAATAGATATTAAGACTTTAATTCATCTCATCCGTTAACTGTTAAGGCAGGCTTAGTTAAGTGTCTAACAAACCGAGCAGTAGCTCTAAGTAGCACAAAAAAAGACCTAAATGATGAAATAAAACAGATAGAAGAGGCGTTGGTGTTAAATAACTATCCTATAAAATTCATTAGGAAGATCGAAAAAGTCCAAAAGCAAATTAAAAATAATGGTGAAACTAGTAACAATAACATAAATAAGAGAGAATATAAGTCATCTACTGTTATACCATATAAGGAGGGGGCATCTGAGGCCCTACGTAGGATTCTCAACAAAGCAGGAATTAGGGTGGCATTCAAACTTACAAACTCACTCAGAGACAAGCTCTGTAGGCTAAAAGACCCGGTGGAACCAATTAAACATGATAATATACGTTGCAAAACACCTTGCAATGACTGTGAGGTCAACTACATAGGTCAAACTAGTAGATCAGGAGTAGTGAGATTGTCGGAACATAAGAATTTAGCTGAAGTTTGAATGACTGATCGCACGAAGATATGTAATTTAGAAAGAAACTGAGCTACAGCACTGCATGTATTAACACAACAAAGTGGGACAGAGTCAAAATCCTAAATAGTAGTATAGGTAGGTGGAGAGAGATTGATTACTGAATCCTGGTGACTCATCGCAAATACCAGAGATATGGAAGATATTATTACCAGTGAAATCGGAGAATAATAAATAATGTTAAAATGTATTCAATTCACATTATAACAAATTACTTATTTTTACTGTAAAAAACATCTTATTTCCCATCTGATTGTATTTGATTGATTACACTAATATTATTTCTGAATGTACATTATCTTAAATTGATTTCATTAAAATGCCCAATCAATTTTACTGATGTATATAAATGGAGTAAAAGTTGTGTGAGTGACTTGATATAATTCTGAGCGATAATTTGTGCTCGAAACGTGGTCATCAGTTAATATTACTGTGTGACTTATCAAAATAAAATCTTATCTATAATGGTGTTATACTCTACCACAGTGTCCAAGTTCTATACTCATATGAATAATTTTAATGATTCCTCGAGTATTTACTGAACTTAATGTGAGAAATTATCAATTAAATAAGTGTTTCGATGAACAGACTTGATATTCAATACCACAGATTCCTTTTTACTCATCATTATTGATGAGAGCAGAGGTGATATTTAAACGTGCCTGCCTTTCCTTCTGCTCACCCACAATATTAGTAATAATGTAACAACAGAAGACAAGGGCCAGGCACAGATCGTTTATTAAGGAAAATCAACGCATATTTATAGATTTTAATGTACATTATTGTTAGTAGAAAATACAGTCTTTTGATTAGTTGTTTCTCACAGAAAGTTAACCTTGCATCTCTTTGTGGCTGTGTCCGATCATCTATATGCTAACTGTATCCGCCTACGCAAAGTCTGCTGTCCATCTTTGACCTTTTCTTCACATGACTAATATTTGAGACATAAACATTGACGTCAATTACTGTCTACCAATTTGGCTAGCAGCCATCTCTCACCACACTCGTCCCCCCGTCAAATAGCTTCGCGAGCAGGTGTTCCGACCTTCTGGGTGATGCATCCTCTAGTTGATGATTGTTACAGACCGGCTTGTCCCAATGCACCCATCGTTGGATCTGACTGGCATTAACTCGTTTTTGTTTGTCACCTCTTCTGATGGTATATACTTGACCCCATTTTTTTGTGACTGTGTATGGCCCTTCCCACTTTGGAAACAGTTTTCGTGAACTTGGCCCGCATCCAACAGCATATCTTCTGTCTCTACACTTCACTTGGTCCCCGACTGCAAAGGTAATACACTGAGTCTTTTCTCTCAGCTGAGACTTCGCGACATCCCTCCGCTGCTTCTGCATTACATTCTTGACGGCTTCCTTCCGTTCTGCTTTTAATTTCGTGGTACTCCACTTTTGGTGAAGGAGCCAGGTTTCGTTGTGTGTCGGTAATCGTGGTTTTCTACCATACATCAGTTGAAAGGGTGACTTTTTCGTTGTTTCCTGGGTGGTAGCACGATGTGTTAGTAGAATCAGTGGCAGCTCCGTTTCCCAGTTACCGCCCTTCGAGGCCAGTCACTCCTTCAGCGTACAGCTGTTTCTCTCCGTCAGGCCATTCGTTTGTGGATGGTATGGGGTCGTTCGAATCCTCTTGATGCCCAGCTGTTGCAAACAGGAAGTAAATTCTTCACTTTCGAAACAGGGACCTTGGTCTGTCAGTATTTTCTTTGGTACGCTGTGGTCTGCAACGATGTCTAACTACTGCATCTGTCACGGTCCTTGCGCGTTGGTCTGGGATTGCTACGGCATCTACCCATCGTGTCGCATGTTCCGTCATCACCAAGAGGTACTGATTACCATTGGATGTCTGAGAAAATGGACCCATGACATCTACCAACCACAAGTCACCTATCGCCGTAACTGGAATCGACTGAAGTGGTGGTCGTATGCACCGGTCGCCTTTCACTAGCTGGCACCGTGGATATCCAAGTACATATCTTGCTACGTCTTCTCTCATACCTGGCCAGTACATACTTTGTCTCAGGAGGTCGGTTGTTCTGGCCACTCCGGTATGTGCTAGCTGGTGGCATTCTTCTATCATGTCGTGGCGTGACGATTGAGGTATGACAGCTAGCCAGCTTTCGTCGTCCTCTCGCCAGGTCAGAGTCCCGTAGGCGTTCACTCTTAGTCGACCTCTCTGTCTGAGTAGTGTGGTTAGCTCCTTACTCGCTGTAGCTGGATCCACTTCTATTCCGTTAGTGATCACCTGTATTCAGCGTATCGTCCAACCTTTGTCTGCGTGCCAGTCTTAGTGGGTCTTGTTCTACTGCATTCACTCCGTAAGCGACTTCGGGAAACTCAGACTCGTCTTCTGGTCTCGATAACAAATCTGCCAAGACATTTTCATTTCCAGGAACGTGTGAGATAGTAAAATCGTACTCCTGAAGACGCAACATCCACTGTGACAATTTCACTCGTTCACGGGGAATAATTTCAAGTCCCGATCCCAGTCACGACGGTGATGAAACAGTTTGCCTAACCCTTTCGGGCTAGGTTCCCAGACTCGCTGGCACCGTCATTGTACTGTCTACCAATTTGAATAGCAGCCATCTCTCACCACAATAAGACTAATATTACTTTCAAGTTTGACCACGAATTGATATTGAGTCATTGGGACAGATAAAGCAATGATCCATGAATTCTAACTTCTATCGATTCACAATTTTTAACGCCACCGCCATTGGCGGACCCCACTGGTCACGAATTCCCTGTAGAAATCCCATAGTCACTCACTAATGAGCATCAGACTAATTTTCAAGTGTTAGTTCGTAGATATTCAATTCATTTCAAGTTTGATTACGGATTGATGTCACTTGAAGAACCATTGTACTGGAGAGTTGTTTCGTCCTAGTTTGGAGTTGTTTTTTATAGGGTGAGACTGCTGACCTCACACTAGACGAGGTTTAGGAATGAATCAGTCCGACGATCCAACCTAAACTATCCGCATGACTGAAGAGTATTCCACCGATGAAGCACCAACACACATCTGAGCCATCTTTATGACTACAGAATGCTTCATATGGAAATATAAACCTATGTATTGGAAAAAGCTGAACATGTAGTGATTCAGGCTGTGTTCAAACTAATCAATGATCCGGATAGACTGCCGAAATAGATGTGTACTAGAAAAACGAGAATGACTCAGATACTTGACATATCATTGTTCTTCTGCTACTGTCTGTACCATTAGGGCATGGATCCGTATGGCATCATCGACAATTAATCAAATCAACAACTGTCTTTTGGTGTACAATAACATTTACCTTTCTGGTTCTATATTAAAGTGTCAACTCCTTGAAGTTCACACTGTAAAAAGCGATCAAGCTGAAGGAGGATTTAAAATAATAGTGCTAGAAATGACTGACACATTTAATGTTTCTTGTAAGCTGATTAAAGAATTTACATGTATAACAACTGAAACCTAACAACCATTTACACAAAATATTAACTATGGTACTGGCAGAATACCTGCCAACTACTCATCCGGTCGAGTTCCGACTCCCAACAGGGGGCTAATTTACTAGTTGATAGGCAGTCAACCTCGAGAAGGAAAGTTGGGCGTGAGACTAGAAACTTTATCCCATAGGGGGAAGAAACAACACATCACTGCTACTGGAACTTCAAAGTTTGAGAAGCCCTATGCCCCATTTGGAAAACAGATAAATGAAGGAAGAAAACAATAAATAACATTCGAGATGATTCAATTGAATAAATCATTACTAATAAATAAAAAATATTTACACATTTTGAATTAAAAAAACAAAAAAACAGACGGAAAAAAGAAATCCTAAATTGTTAAATATAATTTAAAAGGAAAGAGCAAGATAAAATAACTTTTCAGATTTAAAAAAAGTGGTTTCACAAATAACACTAAGGTGACCTTTTGATGCGTGTGTTTTTCTGAAAGTTAAACGCTTATTAATAATACACAAATAAGGAAGGAAGGGGATACAAACTAAGAAATGATTGGAAAAAAACAAAAGGAATCAGAAAGGAAAATAAATAAATAAACACATTACGCGCATACGTATATCAATCGTCTTAGGTTGTTATAGTTGTTATATGTACAACAACACTTTCACAGGAGACTGAAAATTCATCAATTGTACAAAACAACAACATAAACGTGAATATACAATAAAAAAGAACAGTTAGAACAAAGTGGATACTGGAATATGAATATTAGATAGCCAGATAGAGGGGTATACTACTTAGGAGTAATAGCAGTAATAATGAGGTATACAAAAATTATCCCGTATTAATATATTTCCCATGATGAAACAGTACAAGCCGCATATATATATATATATATATATATCATTAAGAAGTATCAGCCTCCGACTGAGTAGATCGACCACTTGGTGTTACTGAATTATTACGTTTAGATTTATCACTAGTAATGTTCAAGTCATCATTGAAGATAGCAGGTTTCACTGGACGAGAAAATGGAGCTTGAACAGTCACAGTATTTTCACAATCAATTAATCCAGAAGATACCTGAGGTGATTGTACAGTAGTACTACTTGTTGTCGACAAAGATGAAGATGAAGACATATCAAAATTGAAATGGGGATTTATAACAACACATGAATCATCTTGAATATCATCATCCATATTATTATTATTGATTGTTGTACTCCCAGTAGTCAAATTAATTATGACACCAGAATTACAAACATCATTAATTGATGTAGTTTTTTCATCTACAAGACAAACTTCACCATCAATATCAAGAATATCATTTTCAGTCGAAAATTCTGAACTAGTTGTATCTTTGAATTTTCTAAAACGAATTGAATTTTTAATTGATGTCAAATTAGCAGGTGTAAACAACGCCAACAATTCATGAAATGGGCTACGATTATGATTAAGTGAAACAGTAGATGCAGAAGGAGAAGAAGAACAATTTCCTTGAGATATTGATGAAATTATTGTTGATGCAGTAGCAGCAATAGGAGTAGGATTAGTGATTATACGGCCATGTTTAAAAGTGGATGATGCATTGTTTAAATCATTTTTTAAATTTGGTATTAATCCACAAAATGGTCTAGGCAATGATGACTGATGATGATAAAATGATGATGTTGGTATATTTGATGTTTGTGTATTCGAATCTGAAATTAATGAATTTAGTACACTTTGACCTTTATCAAAATCTAGTAAACTAGCATTCACTGCAAAGTCAATTATAGCCCGATAACAAAAGGTATATTGTGACGGGACTTGTACACAACCAAATCTTTGTGAACGCACCCGACTAACTGTCAATGGAATATTGATTTTGTGATCTGTATTCCGGGGATCAGCTAACCATTTTGTGCATATATCGACGGTTACATAGGTACCTAACATTAAAAAAGATTAAAAAATGAATAATAAAGGTATTTAAATGTCTTATGACCAGTTTTTTTAATGAATGAGTAACAACACATTCATCATCATCATCATCAGTCCCTTGACTTTCGTCGTGGGGGTGCTATGACAGTTCGCGCTATCAGTCTTCGCCATTCTTCTCGGTTTAATGCTATTTTCTGTAGCGTATCCAAGGGCATTTCAGTCCACTCTTTTATGTTGTCAAGCCAGCTCTTATTCGGTCGACCTCTCTTTCGTGCTCCTCCTACTGTGCCTTGTAGAATCGTTTTGGACAATGTGTCATGTCTTACCGTGTGGCCGAACCATTGTAGTTCCCGTTTCTTTACGATTGAAAGGAGTGGTTCCTGTTTTCCTGCCAGTCTATGGACCTGGTGTAAGACATATTCATTAGTTTTCCTTTCAAGGTAACTTATTCCTAGGATCCTTCTATAGCTTTTGTTTTCGAAGGCTTGTATTCTTCTTTCTGTCTCTGCATTCAGGGTCCAGCTCTCACATCCATATAGGAATACAGAGAGGACCAGTGACGAGTTGTAATCCTAAACTATGGGGCATTTTGAACAATATACATTTCATAAAATGATAATATGCACAGAAATATATACATAGGTGAAGAAAAATTGAAATCTACTACACATTATGTTGACAATGTTTTCACAAACTATTCACACAGAGGAATTACGCTTAATATCTCTATAGGTGATAATTACCAGTAGTGATGATGAAATTCTTCAAATAACAAAATATACGTAGTGTTTATTCATTCCACTTTATTTTCTTCCTCCTTATCGTTATCGTCACTCCACTATTAATTTTTGACAAAACTTGACGCAAATATAAAATTTTAATTCAATCTCTAACAATTTTGTAATTCATCCACTCGAATTGTCCACACACAACCCCGTAAATCATGTAAATTATATTTATTGTTATCATATGTATACTTACTGAGGAATTTTTAGTGAAGAAACTAACGATGGATTGAGCTTCATTTGGACATTTTACTGTATACAGAATGATTACGCACTTTTCTGTGAAAAAAGTACTACTCAGCTCTGTTTGATATTAGGTTGAACAGTAATACTGAATTTTTATAAAGTGTCCTATCTACTGATATTCGAATGAAATTTTTTCCAAAGCTTAACACTACAATATACACAGATTCAGTAACAGACAGGAGAATATACGATTTCGAGAATGATACTGCACACAATAAGAACTAAGGTCCACATTTTACTAGTCCTATTATTGAATGTCAAGTACAATCACCACGAGTAATTGTCGTTCAGTACGATTAGCATAACCACTACAAAGAAAGGGATGAGTTCATATATCCATTGACTGCTGAGAAAATATCTCAATAAGTCTGAATAAATCATACAAAAAAGAAAATATAGGGTTGAAAGTCTCAAGCAAACAAAATCAGAAACATTGTAGGTGCAACAATTAAAAAAGGAGAAATACTACTTTTTGGTGGTTATGAATGCTGAAGATTCAATAAAAGGTTTTTCGAAGAGTACCAAAGATGTATTAAAACAGACCTAATGATATATACTGAGAACCTAGGCAAAATTTTTCCTGCAATCTTCAGGGAAATGAATTATTTAAATTCAATGAAGATTGTACAGTACTTTGGAAAATTCTTATTGTTCACCACTTAAAAAAAGTTGTGAAGCGAATTGCACAATGATTTAATGGAAAGCCAGTCGAGAAAAGTTGAGGGAAGCGTCTTTAAACATGCTGATGATCCCCACTGTGAAGAAACACCTAACTAACCTAACATTCTATAAGAAGCCATGAATGTCTATTTACCAACTATAACTAAAATCTAATTTACTCTTCAATAGACCATGATGCAATTGTTGTAGAACATGTAAAAAACAAACTTTTTTAGATTAATATTAGCTTGGATCTTGTGTTATCACGCAATAAGGAAGGTGACTAAAATACATGCAACCAAAATACTTCGAATTGGCTAGCAAGCACTGCTACTGGTTGATGTGATTAGTATCTACAACTACTCATATCAATCAGTCGAAAAGCATATAAAATAAAATACAACTGTTTCACGGAACACTTCATATGAATCAAAAGAAAAGATGAGGATAAACAATGAAAAAGAAAACAGATTGTTACGGGTAATATCAAAGACAAAAAATATTCAAACGATGCATTTTTTCAACAAAAGATTCCTTAAAATTCCTCCCAACTAATACCACATGCAAAAGCATGACTAGGTGGTGGCGAAGAAGAGACAAGAAATGAAACGATCAGGAGAGTTATGCGAAAAATGAGTAATATACAACTAATACGCTTCAAAAGGGATCAAAACAAAAAGAGAAAGAGGGAGACTGACAAAACATGTATAAAAAGTCACTGAGGGATCAAGACAACAGGATGAAAGTAACCAAGAATATAATAGGATAACATAATAACCGAACCACTAAAATTAAGCTAGTTGCTGACCACACACAGCCAACTGGAAAAGACGTCTAGTAAAGATACTAACAACTGTAGCTTTTATATGACTCGACAAGAGACTACTGTTTTAAATTAACTTAAAGATCAAAGATTAAAAGTGTAATACACTCAGTAGCGAGTTAACTAAAAACGCATAACGTGCTCTTGATATAAGTATAAAACTTGGGCACTGTGGTAGGGCAATAATTTGTGCTCGAAACGTCATCAGTTAATAGTACTGTGTAACACTGTGTGATTTATCAAAATAAAATCTTATCCATAATGGAGCATAACGTGTTTATCGTAAATTCCTTTAAATTTTGTAGATCCAATAAAAAACACCTATTCATAATTGATTAAATACTTCCTTTGTTTAGTTTTCTTTCCATTCCTTTGGGTTCTGAATGGAACACATGGTTCCAAGCTTAAGTTTTGGAGTTTCAGTAGTGATGGTATTGTTTTCAAGGAGTGGAGTTGCTAGCCTCCCTCTGCTTCGGGGCTTACGAGATTTGGGGGATGCGTCGGCCACATGCGTTGTTGGCAAGTATCCTACCATTGAATCACAGACATAACCTTTGTTGATTTCGGACTCCCAAACTGAATAGTAGTGTAACGGTAGAACACAAGAGCATTTGATAACGGAATTATTTATTTGCGAATCAATGTACAGATAAGGCGAAATACATCTACCACATAACAAAATCACAATTTGCACATGTCTTTTATATTGAGTTAGTGCCTCCTTGTCTTCCTTTCATGTTTCCTATGTTGTTTCACAAGAATCATTCCTTTTTTCCTCTGTGCCATTAAATCCGCTATTAGACATCCTTGCAGATGAAAAACATATCTATATACTACTTGTAAATCTTGTCAGTGGTACACGCCACAGTAGTACGGAAGTCACACAGAATATCACACACACACACACAAAGTTCTCCACATAGCATGATACTATCTAACTAAGGTCCGCTAACTTCATTAGGTCAAAACGATCTGACAGCATATTAACTGTTTTCTCATGAGGTTTCATAAGTACTTGTCAGTAAACGTCAGGTGGTTAATAAGATATTCCAGTCAAATGCATATGTGTGTAAGTATATATCCTAAATTTCGTTCTGAACAAAAAATGGTAGCAAGCATACGTCAATCTTCACTTGCTTTACAAAGGAGGTAAGTTTTACATTGAAGCATACATCCCGACTACAGATACCTTTTTTGAGTTAAGGGCTCCTTAAAACATCAAGTATTTAAGCACAGAAAACTTAATAATAAGTCTGATGCATTTCTGGTACCAAAAACGGTGCTTCTACATCATGTTTGCAATCTTAGGCGAATAAATGTAATAAACTCACACCTTTCAACCCATAAAGATGAACCGCCAAACCTGAAATCATATCACAGAAAGGTCGATCGATTACGTTATGAAGCTGCATAGACTGAGATGACTAGCAGACGTGTTACGTATATGAAACCACTACCTCAATTGACAAGCAATGCCAGATGACATCAGATTAGGTTGGAACAGAGTTAGAACTGGTCAAATCAAAACATCAATTCATGAAGTGTTTGACTGTTATTTTGAGCCATATAAGGTAAAGATTGCCTGTGTGGCTTGAGACACTTTAAACCAATGACTAAAGACTGTTGGTGATATGACAAAGAAACATCCTCAATGCCTCAGATGTATTCTGCTGCTGCTGCTGGATTCGCTCTTAATGAGCTCCTAAATCCACTGAATTCTCATTACTCTGCATAAACCTGTTTTTTTAACTGTATATTTCCGTTTACTGTAGTTTCTTTGTATTTTTATTTTTTGTTATGTTTGTGTGCTAAATAGAGTGTGGTAACCTGAACTGCTGCAATTTTCTTTAAAGTTCCAAGTTGAAAATTCAATTATTCAGTCAAATTAATTGTATTGCAAACGAACACTAAAATTAACCTCCCCAGTCATAAGCAATTTTTCTGGAAATCCTAACACAAAAGAGCGTACATGTAAAAGCTGAACACTCCAATACTTTTTGAACAATAACTAATGAATTCAAAAATCAGCGTAATTTTTTGGTCCCGCAAACAAAATCATTTCCGCTTATCATTACTATAAAATACTAACGAAAACTTTTTGAGTTTTGTTTCACAAGATAAAAATTAAGTCCAAGGTAATGGAGGACATTGTACAAATTATTCTTTGTATACAAAGTTCTGGTTTCATGTTATGTATTACCAAGCGTTCCACCATGTAAAGCAAGTATGTTTGTGTATCTCTTGGCAAATTTTGTTACCTTGATATGATTATGAGCAATAAATTGTACCCGAAACTTTATCAGTAATTATTAATGTATGACACTATGCAATAAATTATCTCCATGATGGGATTATACTCTACCACAGTGCCCAATTTCTATTCTTATATCTGTTAGACCTTGGAATCGATGCTGAGGGACGCAGAGTAGTTATTATCTCATAAGTGCTGTAATACAGATGAGGCAATTGCTTTGTGCTCTCCTTTACCCAGTCAGGTTGGAAATCATCTTCAAATGAGGCACAGTATGTTCCTCCAATGAACCTTCTATGTGCCTAGCTCCACAGCAGCAGGTGAACGGATAAATACACATGGAATTGTACGGTCAAGGTAACATTTCCTTAACATTATAGTGCACCAATGGATGGCTTAAGTAAGTTATTCGTACAGAGACAGGGGAGTTCGAAAACACCTCTTAGCTTGTCTGAGAAGAAGAGAGCATAGAGGCATTTTCTAACCATCTACACGAAAATTATCAAAACAATGTTATTCAAAATAAAACAACATATATTTGTCACTAATAACATAAAACATACCCGTCCTACCAATCCCTGCACTACAGTGAACAACAACTGGTGGGGGTGGTATTTCTTGGTCTTCATAAGATTTATATCCCATTCGCTCAATTTCTTTGGAATATGTAAACTGAACGGAGGTGAGTAAATCTAGTAAACCTCCAGTTGTCTGAGGTGTACCATGATCAGGCCATGAGAAGAAGGCAAAGTGTTCAAGAGTTCTCGCTTCATTCAGCTAAACAGATAAATAAATATTCTATTCATTAAAAGGCATTAGCCACTAACAGACTAATACAATCAATTATTATTATTATTATCAATCAATTACTACTTCAACCTATTAAGCGCCATACAGTGTAATCTACAGTTTATTTTTCGGGGTGTATTTTGAAAGACTTTTTCAGTAACCGACCAAGCCGATCATCAGTAAAGAAAATATAACCAATTAAACAGCCAAAAAAACACAATGTGGACCTGCATTGCTAGCTTGATAGTCGAATGCTCGCCAGCCAAGCAGCTGGTTCAGGTCCGCCTCATAGCCAATACATTTTTAAATTTCGACCAGCTGCCAGAAAAGATGGAAGGCTAGACATAAGGCTAGCAAATTCACCCAGTAAAAACGACGCCACTACTGAAACTTAAAAGCCTGAAGTCCTATGTTCCACTCGAAACACACAGAAATGAATAAAATATAATCAGTATAAAGCTTACATGAAACTATAGACTTTGTAACACAATCAGAGAAGAAGAGCGTCATTCAGTAAAAGGGGAAGTTAATTTTAATTACTTGACTCCATAAAAGTACTTAGAACTAAATAAAATTTCATTTGACATTGTTCAGAATACAATGATTCTTACAACAATTAGAATGTTTCCCTGTAACAGATACAGTCAGGGAAAAATACATTAGTGTTTTGGAATGTATAATTATTTCACAAAATTTAGTAAAATGAACAAGTACAAACTTTAGTAGTGCTTGTACATTACATACAACAAATGTTATGAACTCTTCGCTGAAGGCGATACAGTAAAGAGGTAAAGCTGTTCAGATCTGAGTTGTGGCTCATTGGTCTAGGCATTCGACTTCCAACCAGTAGTGGGTCACGGGCTCGAAGCTCTAGCTCCTTGCATAGAAGTTTGGACAACTTTGAGTAGTATAGCAAGCCTTTATGCGACAGATGTGGCTCATCACCACATCTACATGGAATTGCAATTGATTGTTGAGTAACATTGAGCTTTTGTTGGTCAGACGTTATTTATAAGAAAAATCGTATAATCTCTCAAAACACTAACTCGCACAAATATTCAACCTGACGCATACTACTATCATTGATACTATTTGTAATACGTTTTAAATTTGTCGAAGAAACAAATCCCCATGTGAGGAGGAAACTAACTAGAAAGTGAGGAAATACAACAAATATCATGATATCAGGTTATGTAGCTTCAATTGCATGCAGAAAGACAGAAACAATGAGTCGGTATAATTATATGATGGCTTATAGAGTGAAAATTCATCGTCTTCAAAGGATATTGTTCCTCTTCAATGCTGAATAAATCCTACCAAGTGAAACCTGTACACATCAAGCGACAACCCATAAAAAGTAGTTTCATCAAACGGGTTTTGACCGCCGCAAATCTCGAGAATACTGTACATGCATACATACCGATGGACAACACAATTAAATTATGCATTTCACTTAATTTCCTTAAAATATAGTGTGGACCAAACCTTCCGACAGAAATACACTTCCACTAGAAAAGTAAATACGAACTTGTTTATACACACATATGTGCAAGATCCAATTAATTTCATATATAAGGAAATAAAACAACCGGAATGTAAATAAAACAATTAAATTTTTCAGTACGCAAGGAGGCAAGAGAACACGAAGAGACTAAGTGAGGCAAGGGTGAATTGAAATACTAGTTGGGAAGTAAAACAAACAAACTGAATTGGAGAGCTAAAGTATTACAATCTACAAACTAAAACAATGGAACCAGCACGTTATGTACAGAAAGGTACGCAAATTGCGGGGAGGGGAGGAAGAGAGAGGAGGAAAAAAGAGAGGAACATTCACTAGAAAAAAAGAAGAGTAAGGGAAAGATTTAATTAATGTAAACAGTACAAATGAGAAATTGAAGTCAAATGAAACACGAAAAAGAATTACAAAAAAAACTGAAAAGTCATGCGCAGTAGTATAGTCATTTACGCGCAAGTAAGAAGTAAACGAAAAACCAGTTGCATTGTACATTGAATATTATATACAGGAAAACAAAACACGAATTAGGCAAATGAAGAGTTTAGAAAAAGTAATTGTTTAAAGAGGAAGGATTCAAAATAGTCAAAGCGTTACCTATGGTGATGATGATGACGATGAGACTAAAACAGAACTAACTTACAAGAATTAGTTAGTTGGGATTTGCTTTGTTCCAGTTTTGACTACGGACTGATATCAGTTAGAGAACCGCTGAAAACCAGGAAGTACTGGAAAGCTATTTTGTACCAGTTCGGGACTCATCGGCAGTACCCACGTGCCGGGGTTCGAATCCAGGTCCTTCCGGCTATAAGACCACTGGAATCCGACTCAATGGCCAGTCCGTGAATTTTAACTCCTACCAATCCGTGATTTTAGCGCGACCGCCAGCCAACGTCATCGGCACGTTTTGCCCTCACTCCCAACCGGGTGGACTCCACCGGCCACTCACTCAGAAGGAAACTCAGTCGACTTAAGCATCCAACAGACCCAATTAGGAAAAATTATATAATTCACCCAACATCATCTAACGACTGTGAGGGGAACCACAAAGGTCGAGATAGTAGATCTGGAATGGTTGGTGCCATTAAGCTAGAAAACCTCGAAAAAAGCTCAGCCATTGAGGTGCGTTAACTTGTATGCAATCGCATGATAAGATGGGATGGAATAAAAATATTAAAATTTAACATAGATGGAGAGAAAGGTTAATCGTAGAATCTTTGTTTATCGAGCAAACACGAAATACGCACAATCGGAACGACGCAACACCTATCCAGGGAAAATGGCTAAATGGAATGAGAAAACAGGATGGAGCAGAGTTACATAAAGCAAGTTGGAAAGTCGTATGAGGACACACAAAGGGATTATGAAAAAAAAATGCACTCGAAACGTCATCCAGTTATAAATAGTGTATCACTGTATGTCATATGAAATAAATTTATATAATATAGAATTTTAACCTCGCCTAGTTAACTAGTTCGCTAGTTTTCTAGCCGGTTCCAAGCCCGGTTAAAGAGGAAGGGCTGGGCGTAGGGGTAGCAACCCCACACCACTCAATCTTTGGAAACGCTAGAGAAACTTCATCACACAGAAAATATACTGAAAATTCGAAAACTTCAAATAACAACAAAGTTATTCTTCGCTTGAATCGAAAGGCGAAATGACGCAGTGGGCTGGTGAAGCCAGTCAGCCAGCAGATGTGTCTTATCTCGGTGAAAACAGGAGTAAGAATGGGTATGTCGGATGTCCGTACAATGCAAGAGACTGGGAAGGCCGCCTAGGTAGCCAAACAGATGCGAAAATATGGCTAAGAAGTACTGGGTATCTGTGAATGCAGACGGAATGGATGTGGATTGACAACATAGTCAACGGGAGAGTTAATAATCTACTCCGGTCACCCAGACGACAACCAGGAGCAAACTGAGGCAGTCAGTTGCTATCATAATGTCACCAGTGACAGCCAAAGACCTAATGAAGTGGGAACCAATATCATCTAGGATCATGATAGCAAGATTCAACTCCAAAGGAAGGAAGATAACAATTATCCAATGCTACGCACCTACAAATAATGCGGAACAAGACAAGAAGGAAGAGTTTTACAGACAACTACAAACAGTAATGGACATTCCAAATGGTAAAATTAAAATCCTTATGGGCGATATGAACGCCAAACTGGGACCTGATAATACAGGAAGAGAACTCATCATGGGTTGAGAGGCTCTCGGAGAAATGAATGAGAACGGAGAACTATTCGCAGACTTCTGCGCTTTCAATGATTTGGTGATTGCAGGCAGCGTGTACAAGCACAAGGATATACACAAAGCAACATGGGTATCGCCTGATTGACACACTACGAACAAGATAGATTTCATCTCAATCTCAAGGAAGTGGAAACGCGGCCTGCTGGATACAAAGACGAGAAGGGGAGCAGATGTGGGCTCAGACCATCATCTAGTCCAAATAACCTTCAAAATGAAGCTGAAATCCATGAAAAAAACTGGAGACAGACCACAATTCAAGTTCAACATTCAGAAACTGAGAGACAAAACTACAAGGGATGCCTTCGCTACAGATCAGATCAGAGCAAAGTCGGATGCGCTATGTGATATCACTGAGGAAACCTGCGTGGAAAAACATGGAAACTCTCTGACGGCGACGTTCAAGAAACGTGTACAACTGCTCTAGGAAGAAGGAAGAGACAAGACAGGGAATGGCTCTCAACGGATACCTGGAAGCTAATCGAGGAGAGGAGGATAGCACAAGAGAAGAGGAATCACTGCATAAATGGACAACAGAAGGAGAAGATGAGTTCAGTGTACACTGCACTGAATAAAGAAGTGAAGAGGAGGGCTAGGAAAGACAAAAGACAAGTCTATGACACACTGACCAGCAACTGAAGCAGGACAGGCAGGCAGCAGGCAAAAGAGACATCAGGACACTATGTCAGATAACCAAGTCTCTATCCGGGAAGAGATCAACCCAGATGGTGAAACCAATAAAAGATGCTCAAGAAAACCAGATTACCAGGGAGGAGAAACAAATCAAACAATGGGCTGATCACTTTAAAGGACTCTTGAATCGATCATCACCTGCAGATAGCCCAGAAATACACCACCACCAACAGCACGCACAGAATCGCCTGCCTACGAACACAAATCCTCTAAGGAAAGCAGAAACCCTGAAGGCGATCAAGCGACTGAAGGTTGGGAAGGCGGTAGGACCAGATGGAATCCCCCGAACTGAAGCAGTGAAAACGAACCCAGAGACTGCGGCAGATGTGCTCACTCCATTACTGCAAAAGGTTTGGAAGTAAGGAAAGGTGCCTGCTGATTGAAAGAAAGACTACCTCGTAAAGCTGCCAAAGAAGGGAGACCTAGTTAGGCCTCTGCAAGAACTGACGTAGAATCATGCACTTGTCCACTCACGCCAAGTGAAATACTAAGTCGCATCATCCTGGAGAGAATAAAGGATGCACTGAATACAGAACTACGTCAACCCAAACAAGCTGGATTCAGGAAATAAGAATAAAACTTGGGCACTGTGGTAGAGTGTAATTCCATTATGGGTAAATTTTATTTTGATAGAGTCTCACAGTGTTATACAGTAATATTACTGTATAACACTGTGAGACTCTATCAAAATAAAATTTACCCATAATGGATTCAGGAAAGGCAAATCGTGTGCTGATCAAATTGCAACTCTATGCATCATCATCACAGAACAAAGTATAGAACGACAGTCAAACCTCACTCCATCTCAACTTTGAAAAGACCTTCGACAGCGTTGGCCGAGAAGTAATTTGGAAACTACTTCAACACTATGGTGTACCTCAAATCTTTGACAACCTCATTCAACAGCTATATAATAATGCCACGGAAAACTCAGCGAGGCGTTTGAAGTGCATACAGGAGTAAGACAAGACTGCCTGCCTGTTATCACCGATGATTGTGGTGGACTGGATTATGCGTCAGACTGTTGGGGACGAGGAGTCAGGAATACGCTGGACCACCGATGAGAGGACTCTAGAAGATCTGGATTTCGCAGATGATATATGTTTAGTGTCACACAAACTTGAAGACTTACAGGCGAAAACCAACAAACTGGTTGAAGAGGCAGCGGAAACAGGACTCCATGTGAAAATAGAGAAGATGGGGGTGATGAAGATAACCAACGAACCACAACAACAACGACAACCAGCACCAATCACCATCAACGGGAGAGATTTAACAGAGGTAGCCTCCTTCACTTATCTCGGAAGCACCGTTTCATCCACAAGCAGCAGGAATGGATGAAGACGTCAAAGCTAGTCGGAATCGGAAAGGCAAGACATGCCTTCATCAACCTGAAAACAGTTTGGAAGTCTTCGGCACTCAGCCAGCATAGAAAACAAGATTCGGATTTTCAATGCAAATGTGAAGTCGGTCCTTCTATACGGGTCAGAAACTTGCACTGCGTGTGAGTCATGCAAAGGATTTCCAGCAGGTTGCAGACTTTCATCAACAGCTGCCTTCGCTGGCTCCATATTGAAGATCAGAAGGCCGGCTTGAAAGAATATATAACAAGAAACTCTGGGAACAAACCAACCAAGAACCGATCACTCAACAAATTTATAGGAGAAAGTGGAGGTGGAACGGGCATACATTGAGGAGACCGTCAAATGACATCGCGCTCAATGCAGGCCATTCCTCGAGTGGAATCCAAATGGGAAGCGACGAATGGGTTGTCCTGGGGTGACATGGAGATCATTTGAGGAAGAGATGAGAGTTTGGGCAATCGTGGACCCAGTTGAAGAGGACGGCAGAAAATAGAACAAAGTGGAGATATGTTGTTGAAGCCATTGTTCCACTCGGAACTCAAGAGAATAATGGTAGTAATAATATAGAATTTTATTTTAAAAGTCCCTGAAGTTTACTCATACATATTTCATTCCATAGTTTCTCTTGCCGCATTTCTTGGTGATCGATCTGTACCACGTTTGCGTCCAAATAGTGGTGATGGTTGTAGTAATGGTAATAATAACAATAATAATGACAGTTACCGTCATTATTATTATTATTATTGTACCTTGGCATCTCAATTTTTATCAAAAGATGTTTTTACTAAGATTATGAAAAGTCCACCACACTCTTCTTGATTCGTCACAGAAACCCCTACTTGTCCCCCTCAAAACTTAAAATTGTACAATCTGCACGCAATTCCACAACTTAAACAGCTTTTAATAAGGGAAGGTTAAGTCAATAATCAATGAATAATCGATCTTGTTAGAGAATAAAATTGTCATGAAGGTGCTTAGATTAATTCTTTAGGTTACTAGTTCAGTCACGTGAGAAGTAGAAAACTTTAAGGTTTAAGAAGAGTACTTTGTCTATGTGTGTAACCAAATCATGCCAGATACAAATTTTCTCCATATCGCGGATTAAATATTTGGATTGATTGCACCACATATCGAAGTGACTTTTTCAGACTAAAGAATTCAAAAACAAAATTTTTACGCTAACTAGCCTACATTGTGTAAGCAACATTCTCATTTCTCACTAGAATAATCGCTATAAATTGTTACACCTTTCCTAACTGCAACCGTGGATCCCATTCCCTCTATTTAGATAAATGAATATTTCAATATAGCGAAAATATTCATTCAGACATCGGTAAAAGAAAACAAAATTGAGCAAAGAATATCCTTTTCGAAAATTTCCTCTTCTGGCCCTACAATTATATACATGCTTATATACACAGATGGTTGGAGGTAGTCTGCAGGAAGCCATGGACTAAGTTTTCGTGCTTGTTGGCGTTCGTCAGCAAGGTGTATTTGTAGTCGTGGGGGAACTCATGTCCCTTTTAAGATTCGAACTTAGGTTACCCATTGCTACAGTTACAGACGTTACCGCTGAGCTATTCGACTCGCTACTTACCTCTTGTAGGACTGTAGTGAATACGAGGGACTGGACGCATAACAGTAGTTACTACCTAGTGCCCAACCAAACGTAAACCATATTGTTAACAAAAATGTTTATATGGAAGTGCTGTAAGACGATATATTCTTCACTCAATGTTCTGGACAGTCTCAACAAAATAAAGTGTAATTATCACCCAAACTATGAGTTCAAACTCAGAGAAGGAATACAGTAAAAAGACATCGACGCAGAGATGACAAGAAGGATTTCAGTCTTGTGAACACTGAACAAGATAGGATGAAACTACAGCCTGAAGGTTAGTGATACTATCACGTCGGTAATTCAGTGGTAGAATGTTCGCCAGTCAATTACGTGGCCCATGTTTAATTCCTAGCTGATCCGCTTCTAAACTTCGCCTAGTTTACCAGCCTGTAGTAAGCCAAAAAAAGAGAAAAGGTTGAGTATCAGACTAGCAACTCCATTCTGTAAAAATAACACCACCACCACTAGTTTCAAGGTAAGGGATGAGAGACAAAAGGTATGTAACTACAGCATAAAAGTTACGGACAGATTTAGTAGAAATCACACCAATATCTTATTGATTGAGGTTTAAAAGAGATGATAAGCCAGACAATCATTATTTACACAAACGACAAAAGGAAATAAATGTTAGGTAATTCAGTTGCCATTATTCACTTTACATAACCTTCTATTTATTTTTAAATAAATAAAAAAATAGAGACGATAAGTGAATGAATTATCAGATCACTGAAAACACAATACACAGAACAGAACTGTGGCCAATTGGGTTTAGGCACCCGAATTTAAACGACTAAGACACGGGTTCTAAACCCGTCCACCTATCGAGGCTCTGGCAGCCAAGTAGTGTCACTAGCCCTCACACAGTAGGTGTAGTTCATTGTCAACTGCATGCGACTGCAAGTAGTTTTTACGGTACCTAGCTTGTGGTATTACGCATTTTTCTAGATAAACTCTACATTTTATCAGAACGATACATTTTTTTTTCAAGGAAACTAGTTATTTCAAGTAAAAAAAGAGTTCACTAACCTGTAAATTTGTTAATCGCAAAGTTGTTTGAGTGAAATTCCCAGTACTTTCGCATTTTATATTTTCAATTGAAAAGTCAGGAGATGTATCAGGCTTTTTGGACTTGCAATCATTAGATCGGTTAGACGGTGAAACTAGACAACCTGGATGACCAGAACTGAAATATAATTTTTGATTTTCTGAATCTGGCCAATACAAGTAACACTTTGAACGTTGAGCTTCAAGAATTCTAAAAAATGAGGAGGAGACTTGTTATAAGTCAATGCCAGTCACTGAAAATTTTATCACGCTAGTGCTACACTTCAATATTTATTTTATTTATCACTGAAAATGAGTTGAAATAAAATGTTCAGAAACACTTATAATAAAGGAAGTATTAAATAAAGTTTTGTTTTATTTTTTTAAATTTTATTATAGCTTGATTCCACACAGTATTTTGGAACAAGTAAGAAATTTTCAGCATGTGACATCGGTAGCCCAAATTTTACGAGCCGACCATTGATATCAGGTGTGCGTCGGCGGGGGATCGAACCTCGGACCATGTGCATGGTCGGCGAGAGTCCTAACCGCCGTGCCACCGACGCACTGCACGGAAAGTTGCGCAATGATGAATTTCTATAAATATGCAAAAAGAATATAGACTTACTTTGTAATCATAACAATAATAGGACAATGATAATCCCAAATCATCTGCCAAAAATCCCCAACAGTTTCAGACAATGGACCTAAATTTGAAATATAAGTCAAAAATGACAGTAATTGAAAGAATATATATCTTAATGTTTACAAGGATCAACAGAAATAAATTAAGATTCTTTCCTACAATCAAATACAATAATAACCAGAAGAACTTGCTAATGAAGTTTGTAAAAAAGGGTGGACCGTGTAACCAATCATCAATAACTATCAGATCAATTCAAAACAACTTCTCTAGATTACAAAATGCGTGAAACCAAGTGATCATGATTAGAAATAATCACTAATTAGGACACATAATACATCCTGTTTTTTGGTAGTAACGTAAAGTGTGGAGTAGAACTAGTTAAACTCTGTCTCGCCTAACATCTAGACAGATACGAGAATAGTGATGAAAATTCGAGTGTTAGCGGCTTGAATGTACATAAGGAATGTAGTTCTAGCGGCACTGCTAACTGATCACTAGATCTGGGACTGATTGGGAAAAACTAAGTGATGATTAGCTTACAGCGCAGTACCGTGAGATGAAGTGCTGTTGTACTAGGTTATTATCAATTGGTTCATTATCACTAGCATGGACGGAATTCAGAAACTCACGATTGTAATCAGTCTGCTTTTTTACTGCACATTACTTTTGTCCCATTACTTTCCACAGGGTATTTCTGATCTCCACCAACCACCACAGAGTACCAAGTTTTGTTTGAATAAATAAGTAAAGAGTTAAAAGCAAAAGGAATGACATTACGCAATGAAAATACTTCCTCAACTAAAGACTGTACGCACAGTTTAAATAATGAAATAAACCACAATTTTCTCGCAATGAGGCGTAATAAGGCAAAAATCTATGATAGCGAATAACCAAAAAGTGGATACAATTTACACAGACATACCCTGAGTACATATGAAAGCATTCTTCTGTCGATAACCATCAACCCAATTTGCATGTATATAATTTTTTACCAATGTTTGTGTAGAAATCGGTGCTGAATGCGTACGATGAAGACGTGAAGAAAACGACCTCTGATTACGAAATGAAACTGGTTCCTCATTACTACGACCATATGAAATTCCCGAAATATTCGACAATGGTTGTAGATAGACACGTGTTGCATCATTGCAAATTACATCACAATAACGGTTCTTATTCCGGTTGAGAATATGTCTAAATGGTTAGTGAATATTGAAGAAGAAGAAGGGAGAAAAACCACTTCACACTCAGTTATCATATAACGGTGTAATGCAACCAAAGATCTCTTACAAAGAACTAGCACCAAAACAGGGGACAGACCTTAGGACACATAGATTACTTCGCCAAAGCAAATACATATTTCATATATATATTAGTTACGTTTATTCACAGGTCTTAGATATTTTACAATTTAGACAATTTGTCAACAGCCAAGAACCGTAGGATGGATCGCACTCCGTCAGCCCCTAAGACTGAGTGATATGATGTTGCTTACTCTTTATCAGCCAGTCCAAGCATCTTTGACTGCAGGACTAAGCGAAACAATTTTGAAATTTCTGAGTTAAGAGATATCAGTTAATTGCTTATATGTTTGTTTACACTAAACTACACAGAACGGAGTTTTCATGTAACAGGCTGTGGGCCACAATTATCGCGTGATACATATACAGGGTTGGACCCAATGCGTCATACACAAGGCTGAAAAGCAATGAATTTCTATTAATTATATAGCAGGAGTTTAATGAACTTTTGAGTGAAAAAGTTGAATAGTAACCACGCTAACACGAAAATAGTCAAACACCTGCATTATTATTCCACAGACTATTAAATACAAAGTCAATCACATCAAATGAAAGAGAAATAAAGTCTACAATTGAACCGTGAACAAAAAATTTATTATTATTATTAACGCAATATTTATTTGTCCCTCATCCCAATTCAGGTAACAAGAATTTTGTCAGGTACATTGTACAGAGTAGTAGTAGTAGTAGTGAAACAGTGAAATATTTTAACTAGAGGGATTGAGCTAGTCCGGTATCTGAAACAACAGGTGATAAGAAATCACCTACGCTCTGTTATAATGCATATATATATATATATATATATATAGGCATTGGTGTCATATCTTCATTCAATGTTCATATTTTATTGAGAACTATCAGCTTGGCTAGTATTTAAACTCTCGTGAAACTGGTTCGTTCCAAATGAAACGAAAACACTCAATAAGGTCAAATAAACCAAAAAGTATAAGAATAATAGTAATAATAAAGAGTATTTATTATTTTTATCCATATATCTGAAGTCAGAGATATGAGGAAAAACAAATCAATACCAAGAATAAAGTTGAAAAATATTTATCCAAGAATACGGTAAATCCGAAATTTGACAGTAGTATGCATCAGAAAATATAACTTTACTCTTATATATATATATATATATATATCATGCCAACATCTCAGAATTTAATGCAAAGAATTTTAGAAAGTCAATGAGGGAGCAATCAATATTTATTTATCTTGTGCACCATAACCATTAGTATTGATATATATATATATATATATATATATATATATATATATCAGTGTGAGACGATACGCCAAGTCAGGGTACAATAAATCAAAGTGCATACAATATACTTCAATGAATCGGGTGAAAGACGGAAATACATTTCATCACTGACTATTCTTATGAGCGGACAGTAGTAGAAGTATTTTTGTTGTCACACGGATAATATCTGTATGACAGTGGGTGTAGTAGAAGTGTGGTGAGAGCTGTCTACTAGCCAAATTGGTAGACAGTAATTCACGTCAATGTTTACGTTCTCAAGATTGGTCGTGAGAAAATATGAACAGGACTGATTCAAAAACCGACCACAGCAGACTTTGCGTAGGCGGATACAGTTAACATATAGATGATCTGACATTCAAGAAAGTCACAAAGAGATGAAAGATTAACTTTAAGTGAGAAACAACCAATCAGAAGACTGTGTTTTTCTGCTAACAATAATCTATAATAATGTACATGAAAATATATAAATATGTGTTGATTTCCTTAATAAACGATCTGTTGCCTGGCCCTTGTCTTCTATTGTTACAGCAGCACAGTGGAGATATAACTCACTGGCTTAAGGATTTAACTCAAAGAGCCAATTGGTCTCGCGTTCGAATCTCAATATCCCACCTACTTCAGCTCCTTGGGCAATCACTGAGTAGTATCGTCAGTCCCTCATAAACAAGTGTAGCTAATAGTCTGTTTCGGATAACTAAGTTCTTACAAGAGTAGCACAGTAAACTAAAAGAAGTTATCAAAGCCAACTGCTGCAAGTGTTAACAAAGTAAGCTGGACAAAAGTTGTAATTAAAAATGGATAAAGACTGATATTATTATTGCACATGAATATTTTAAAAGAGTGGTAAGTTTTTCAACTGAAACTTAAAATGTGTGAATAAGTGAGTGATTTCATATCCGACGTCAATAAGTAATGAACATAACGCATTGGCATGAATCGACTCTCATAATAACTCAATCAATCAAGTAATGAACCACTGGTATTTCGGTGGTGATAACAGAAAGAATAAACCTATTACGTTAACGTAAATTGAATAGATGTCGCAACGCTGAATCATTTCCTCTTATTGACGTCAAATCTATCTCTCCGCTACTTGATGTTTTTTCATGTCGATGAACGTCTCTTTATGTGCTACTAATAAATCTTATCAGTAGCACACGCTCCACTCGTCCTCCCATTAAATAGTTTCCAATGGAGCCGCTCCGACCTTGGTTTTACCCGTTCCTGTTCTGCCTTGGTCCCGGCTTCCTTAACCCCCAGTATTTCTGCAGTTGGTTAACGTTTACCCGTTTCTGTTTATTTCCTCTCTTCATGTCTTTTGATGACAGCGTATGGCTCTTCCCACTTTGGAAGGTGTTTCGGTGAACCTGGCCAGCATCTAACTATGTACTTTCTTCCTCTACACTTTACTTGACTGTCAACCTCAAAGTTTATGCATCCCATCTTTTCTCTGTTTAGATTTCACGGCGTCTATCTTCTGTTTACGCTTTACATTCCTGAAGGTTTTTTCTCATTCTATTCGCAATTTCGTCAGACTCCACTCTTGGTGAAGGGTCTAGTTTATGCTGTGTTGGCAGTCATGGTTTCCTCCCATACATCAACTGAAATGGTAACCTCTTTGTTGTTTCCTGGATGGAAGCACGATGTGCTAGTAGGACCAATGGAAGGTCTGTCTCCCAGTTACCTCCCTTCCAGGCCAGTTACTCCTTCAGTGTACGGTTATTTCTCTCTGTCAGACCATTCGTTTGTGAATGACATGGTATTGTTCAGGTCTTCTTAATCCCCAGCTTTCCGAAACAGGAAGTGAATTCTTCACTTTCAAAACAAAAGTCCTGATCCACCAGTCAGTATCGTCGTTGGTGCACCAAAGTCTGCGATGATGTGTTGAACAGCTGCGTCAGTCCCAGTTCTCGAGGATTGATCAGGGATCGCGATGGAATCTACCCATCGTGTAGCATGTCCCGTCATCACCAGGCAGTACTGATTGGCACTGGATGTCTGCGGAAACTGACCTATCCTATTTACGAACCACACGTCAACTACTGCCGTAACTGGAATTGATTGCAAAGGCAGTCGTATGCACTGATCTCCTTTCATCACCTGGCATTGCACACAACCAAGTACATATTTTGTCTCAAAAGATCGGTTGTTCTGGCTACTCTTGTATGTGCTGGCTGGTGATATTCTTGTATCATTTCATGGCATAGAGACTGAGATACTACTACCAACCAGCTTCCATCGTTCTCTCGCCAAGTCAGAGTTCCGTAGGCGTTCACTCTTAATCGATCGTTCTGTCTGAATAGCGTAGTCAGATCCTTACTCTCAGTAGGTTGATTCGCTTCTATTCCGTTAGTGATCACCTGTATTACTTTACTCAGCGTATGGTCTGATTTCTGACTGCAGGCAAGTCTTAATGGGTCTTGTTCCAATGCATGGACTCCGGTAACTCAGCTTCGTCTTCCTATCTAGATAAAGGGTCTGCCAAGAAATTCTCTTTGCCAGGGACGTGTAAGATCGTGAAGTTACACTGTGGTGGAGTGATAGAGACAATGTGTGCCAACAGAATATTATCCTCACATATTCCCACATTTCAATTCGGCATTAGCAACAGAATACGATATATATTTGAACATTCTACCTGATGGTAGAGACAGAATACTTTTCTCATAGTTATATACTACATCAGCAACAGAATACTATGCATATTTGAACATTCTGTTTCATGTCGTTTGATGTAAACCGAAATCCCACGCTCAGTGATTGGTTAACGAAAATTAAAAAAAAGGTAGATATATAAACTGAGGTTTGATCAATGCAAATATACCTTTGGCTTCCGTGTCTTGCCTTCTGTTGATACAATACTCCTGCAGACGCAACATCCACCTCGACAATTTCCCACATGGGTCTCTCACTCTCCTCAAAAACTGTAGTGGCTTGTGACGCATTTCGATGTGGAACCATTGGCTGAATAAATACGGTCTCTATTGGTCTACCGCCCATACTATTGCTAAACGGTCTTTCTCTACCGTTGAATACTTTTGTTCTGTGTGTTAAAACACGACTGGCATATCCGACAACTCCTTCACCCTGTCTAAGTACTGCGGCTATACCGTGGTCACTAGCATCCGTACACACTGTGAGCTGTTTTCCGGGTACAGGTAGTTTTGGCGTCGTTTTCTGATAGTCTAAAAGCCATTTAATGCTGTCGAATATTTTCTGTGAATCTTCCGACCAAAAAAACTTCAATTCACGTAAAAGCTTGTACAGGGAGGTTGCTATTTCGTTAAAACTCCTCACAAATCAAATATAAAACACTGCTCTCTCCAGGAACTGCCTTAGCTTCCTCTTGAAATTCACTGACAAGATTTCCTCCGGTAACGGTTTTATCTCACCGTTGCCTACTTTATGACCCAACAGCGTAACACTCCGTTTGGATATTAGAGATTTTATTTATTGATAAGCAGTCCAAACTCTTCAATGTGTTTCAACACGGCTTTCACATGGTCGCTTTCGTTTTGACTATAGATGACGACATCATTACCGTACACCTCCACATTCTTTAAGTATCTAAGTAACAACGTCGTCAGTCATTTGAAGGTAAGCGGTGCACCTGCTAGGCCAAATGGTATAAGTTTTAACCCACACTATTCCTGACCCACGATAAACGCCTTCTTATCTCTGTCGCTCTGTATTATCAGTATCTGCCAATATCCTGGTCAGAGGTCGAGCACTGTACACAAACTGGCGCTTTATAGACGGTCCAACTTCTCTACTACAGCTGACATGGCAGACGTCTCAGCTTTGTCATGCTGTTTAGCTGTCAGAAATCAGCGCAGAATCTGTACTTCCCATTTGCTTCTTTTCAATAAAAGAACTGAAGGGTTATACGGGCCGTCAGCTTCTTCAATATCATCCTGTAACATATCCCTCATTTGTCGCTCAACTTCGCCTTTTAAATGACATGGGACTCTTTGCGTTGTGAACGGTGCCACTTTCTGACCACTCAGTGGGATTTCATGACCCACCATATCACAACAACCGTAGGGGTCCCAATCTCCAGTGAACAGATCATTGTATTCTTTAACTAACACTGTCATATTCTGTGCTTTCGACGCCTAAACCCCTGCTATCTCACTTGTGTCATACATGCTGATAGGTTCGTACTTCGTTAATTACCGCACCGACGTCTTACAGAAAATCAGAGCCAAGTGTTGTTCACCGTAACTCGGGCGCAACAATGAAAGGGAACGTTACTTTGCGGTCGCCAACAACGACGATACAGTTTGACATGCCCACGATGTTTAACACGTGTCCACCTACAGTTTGAACTGTCAATGAAAACAGTCTGACGGTCCGACATAGATTCTTATCTATTAGTCAAACTGCCGACCCAGTATCTATCAAACATGCTACTTCTTAGCCATTCACTGGCAACTTAGAATACATTGCCCCACTTTCGATAGCCCCCACTAATTCTAGTCTTAAAGAAAAGAAAGAACACACACTATACTGTCTGGAATTTTTCCTTTTCCTTTTTTCTTGGCAGTGTCCTGCTTTGTCACATTCAGAGCATTGGCCATTCCTGGCACTTATTTGTAGTGCCGCTACTTCACACTGAGAATCTTCAACTTTCTTTTTCCATTCGTTCAATTTAGGTGGCTCCATTGCTGCTACTGCTATGCTCAGCAGCTGTCTGATTACTTTCGCTAGCTCACCGATGTCCATGGGTTGTGCAACGTTAACCAGCTGTAGTTGCTAAGAAATGTGGTCCCGGACACTCTCGATGAACTCGGACGCCAATAACTGCAACTTCGAGTATTCATCCAATGTGGGGAGTGAGCAACGTAGTAGATTCATCAGCTTCATTGCCAACACTAGCAGGTCTCCGTCCGTTCCCAGCTTCGCGACACGGAACTGCTGGGTCGCCAGCTGCCTGTCCGTCGAACTCTGCCACCAGTCGTTGAACCAACACCTTCGAGGTCTCCTTCTCTCCTGACCACTCCACACTGTCGTGGCCATCTTTGCCCGACCTCTCGGCAGTGTCCCCAGCACAACCAGCTTTGCCGTCGGAAACTCGACGCCTAACAGATCAGCGACAGCATCGAAGTCCAGCAAGAAGCTACTTATGTCTCCTTAGAAAACAGCCAGCCATGAGATTTTCACTTTCTGGAGGCAGTGACACCAATTGTAATGGTAGAAGACAAGAGACTTAGTAAAGGAATGTTTATTTGGAATTTGGTATCTCTACATAGCGAAATTATGTACACATTATCTCCAAATCACCATTTGCACAGATCTTGCATGTTGTGCTACTTCTGTTCTCCGTATTGTTTCTGTCTTCTTTTCATATCTCCAATGTTTTGCCGCAACGCTGAATCATTTGACTTCAAATCTATCTCTCCGCTATTTGACATTTATATGCTGATGAACTTCTCTTTATACGCCGCTGACACTTATTCACTGAAGTCGCGTAAACTTCATATATTATTTTGAATCTCTTATCAATATCTTTAGGAATGACTATAGAATTAGCAGTTGGACAGCATCATTTTTAGACGTACACTCATCTCTATAAAAAGAAGCCTGTTAAAGCTATACTTACTTTACTTTACTTCGGCTACCTCCTACGGGAGGATGAGCCGGCTTCATGAACATCTCGAATCATCGCTGCCCAGGCACGGCGATCTGATGCAAGGTTTTGCGACAGGGTTTTCCAATTCTTGTTCCACAGACGGAGTCCATAGACGGTTTGTAGCCCCAGGCACTCCATATCAGCCTTGACTGTACCACGTTTGTAAGAGAGTTCATGAAGTTTCATGGGAATTTGGTACGAGTGATGTCCCCAGAATCGCTCGGCCTTTTCTTTGAGAGTGCAGCTCTAGCCTTTACACAACCAAGTGTGACCTACAAGGCAGTAGGAGTGGAGTAGGGAGTCCACTATCCATTGGCAGCCGGTGACCGCAGTTCGGTTCATACGCCTTTTTGAATGGGGCCAGACATCCAGGACATCCAACAAGCCCTTTGTCCATACGTCTACCGGTGAGCTCCAGTGAGCTTCATACGCCAGTCGTTGGAGGTTTAGCCATCTCCGCTAGACTGTCATCCAATGGACAGTCAACCCGGTGAAGAGCGCCGGGCATCCGCTTTCGCCCTCTCACTTTGGTGAAAAACACCTCCGCCTTGTGAAGGCAGTGAGTAGGACTTCCTCAGGAGAGGCTATGTAAGACGCCCGGTCATATGGGAGCATTTCAAGAGGTGTGCGGAGGGGTGGCCAACCCGCAGCGCAAGGCACCCACCCCCGACCATCCTGAGGCTTTGGAGCTATATCAGGGTTTCATACGTCAACAGATATATATGTATATATATATATATGAAAATGAAATCGTCGAAGAGAAATTTCTTCGCCAAAATCTGTTTGATGTCTCAATAGGAATTATTAATTAAATTAAAAAAGAGCAAAGATCCCACAGTGGTTAGACTTTAATGTGCTTTTACAGTACACCTTCAAATTTGCATTGGTAATAAATAAGATTCAATTTCTGAAGTAATGCATCGTTGATCACAAATATCCTAAAAAACACATATTGGAAAATTCTATACCGTCATCGTGTTTATACATTTCAGAAAACTCTTACACGTCACACTCTTAACAATATTAACGCTAACTGTTACTAGACTTTTGAGCTAGAAAGCAAAACTGTACATACAGCATACAGGCTACACAAACTTTTACAAGCAGTGTGCGTACAATTTGAAGACTATATTACTATGGTTATTGGAAGCAAATGCTAAGGTACAAATCATGTATTCGCAAATCGACTCAAACAGTCCAAATCCAGTAGAAAATTTCCAAACCATTCAGAAAAATATGTTTTTAATTACTTCTTAATGAATCCATAATCTATTCACATGGAGATATTATCGAATGGTTCAAAGTCCTGTACGCCTCAATGGAATGTGAAGACACTGCATCACCGAAAAAAGTTTGAAAATCTGATCAACCAGACAAAAGACCTAGCACCAATTCCACTAGAAGACTTAAATTATTTCGAATAATCGCTGCTTAACTGTGCACATCAATTCATGATATCAAAACTAAACCGTTTCAGCGCCTCACTAAGGAATATTTTATTCAACTCAATGAACTGAGGAAAATGAGCATATATTGCTGACACCGTAAGATAAAGGTGCAGATATTGTAATAATGAGTCAGAAAAATTATATCGACAAAATACTAAACATTTTGTTAGATGAGTCTACATTTCAGAAATCTGAATGTGAGAAAGGGGAAATAACAGAGGAACAGGTTTTGAGACGAATGGAGTGATTCATTACTGATATTTGAGTTACATGAGAAGTTGACACCCCCTGGTTCTATTTTTCCTTGACTCTATGGTCTGCCAAAAATAAAATTTGAGCAACCTCTTTCGCCCACATGGCAGGTTCACCTTATCATTACGTCACCAAGTGGATAGCAGAACTGGACACATAAAAATGGCAAGGATGCATCTATTCTTTGCATGATCCGTTTGAAATCTTTATTTAAATAAAATATTTTGTAAGTCAGATCAACTTACTTCTAAAAGAAATGGATTTAACATTGATCACCACAGGGCAAACAATTATAAGTTGCCCAGTCATATGTGGTGACTGAATATCATTGAAAATTACCATAAAATGTTTATTTGACATTAATTTAATAATTCTCATTGTAGCATTAAGAACACAATATTCAGCGAAGAGACTCTTTTCAACGAATTTATTATTTATTTGACATTAGGTAGTTCAAAGTGATTTGGGACAAAAGCTTAATCTTAAAAACCATCAATCCATCACTTTCAGTTCATGCAAACAAATAATATTCCCTATCAGAATGAATTTTACCCACAATGGAATTATACTCTGTTGATACTCCAACCTAAAACTGAGAGCTGTTTTTATCACATGTGAGAGGAAGGTATCCTCTGTAACACTTTTCTGAAGTTTTTATACATCTTTTCATAAATATATGTATTTCATACACAAAAATGGCTCCTTCATGTGGTTGGTGCGTTCGAGGCCAATCGCTGATTGGTAGTTAGTGGTGCTTAAAGTTTAACTTAGCCATATTTCTCCAAGAAATAGCATACTTTGACTTGCTATAGAATGTGATACGGTGACTTCAACTGGCACAAGTTGTGCCAAAGATTTAGAAGAAAATCACCAGACTCGACCTGATTGCATACAAATATATGGAATTTAATTTCTTGTAGGCATTGTCAAACTCATGTCTGACTCCATGAAGAGTTGAAAAGCTAATATGCCTTTTACTCTAACATACATCTCTAAGAGCCCATATATATAAAGATTAAAAAATTCACATATGAAGGTTTTAAGTAACGTGATCATTTTAAAACTGAGTGTCAAGTTCAACAAAAAAGTATACTTTTATTTTCAATGATATATAAATTAGATGTCCAGTGCGTGTTTTCTCGTTTTTGAATGATCTCTGTAACTGATGTTGGTTCGTGACGAAGTCTAAACCACTACAAAAATTCATAATCTCAAGATAAATTAGACACAATTCACTTTCTGATAGACAACATCAACACATTTAAAATAAATTCATAAACAAAAAGTATTTACTTGAAGGCGACATGTGTGTCATCATTTTTCAATTTGACAAGAGCAGCATATTCTGAATTCAATCCATTCAAACCGACAGCTTTGATGTGTTGAACCAATTCATCTGGATTCATCCAATGCTCCTGCATATTTATTGTTTGAGTTCCCTCCTCCTCCTCCTCCTCCTCCTCATCATCATCATCATCATCGTCTTCCTCTTCAACCTCAAATTCTTCTTCCTCATCACCAATATCAGATATCTCTTCGGTACTGCTAGATGTAGTGCTGTTTATCTCAATCATATTGGCATCAATCTCGTCATATGTCTTTTGTCTTTCTAATAATAAAGCTTCACGGTGGTCATCATTTTCAGAATGACTAATAGTTGAATTAGCGATAGATGCACAAGTGTTATTATTGCCAGTAGCATAAGTAGTGCAAGTAGTAGTAGTAGTAGTAGTAGTAGAGGTATGTATAAAAGATACTAAATCACATTCAGGAAATTTATCCAAACTTGAAGAAAATAAATGTCCTACATACGATGAATTTATCTCATTCACACGGGTGGTATTATCATTATTATTCAAAGAAGACAATGCAGACGGAAGTACAGTATCATAATATTGATGAATAGATTCACCCTGTGGTCGTCCAACTGCCCAAGGTGGAATATTTCCTGAACGATCGACACTATCAGTTTTAAATCCATATGCTGTCGGAATGAAAATAACATTGAATATGGTATTAGAGTTAATTATTTACACATCAATATGTAAAAAAGTATCATGTGACTACGAAACATTATTAGTGATAGGTAGTGAAGAAACAATGTTCTTCACTAAGTGACAAAAAAATTACAAAGTTCATAGTGAAAAACACAATCAACTTCAATAGAGGCCTAAACAGTCTAAAATAAAAATAGTAGCAGAAAAAAGGAATTAAGTTTAGTTTATACTCAGGTTATTTAAACTTTATGACAATGAATGTGGTAATCATGATAATGGGAAAAACAGATGAAAGGTAGCTGATATGTAATCCATTTACTGCAATTATTAACCAATAAATCAATTCTCACAGCTAAGTGTATCGCTGAATTTATGTCCTCTATGAGAAAGTTGTTTATGTCTAATGCCACAAAAACTCGAAGATCAACAGGCGAAAATAATAATAATAATAACAGCTTTATTCCAAACAGTATTTGTGGTACAGGTATGGAATTTTCAGCGTGCATTACAATATTGCATCTAATTACCTCATAAATTTTATAAGATTTTAAAATCAAAAAGCAACAACCAAAAAGAAAGAACAGCGTTGCGTTTACATTTTTAAACAATGCACCACAGGATACGAAATTTAAAATTAGTGTGTAATAGAAGATGTGAACAACAACATAATAGTAACAAAGAAAGAAAAACAAAAACTAATAGGACTAATTGTTAGAGTGCTGCAGTAAGTTGGTCGTGTTGGCAGAAGAGGCAGGCAGAAAAAGCAGCACTTCAAGTGAACATAGGGAAGACAGGGGTGATGAAGATACCTAACCAACAACAACAATCTCTATCAACAGGACAAATCCAAAGGAAGTCACCTCCTTCACTGATCTAGGCAATATCGTTTCAACTACAGGCAACACGGATTAGGATGTCAAAGCCACGATTGGAAATGCAAAAAAGGCCTTCATCAATTTGAAATCAGTGTTCAAATCTGGTGAATTCATCATAATGAGCAGGATTCTGATTTTCAACACTAATACCAAGTCAGTGCTTCTATATAGCTCAGAGACTCGGTGAGTCAAAATAAGCATTTCCAACAAGCTGACGACCTTTATCAACATCTGTCTTTTCTCGATACTGAAGATCAGATCGCCAGAAAGTATTAGCAAGAAACTCTGGCAACAAACCAACTAAGAACCTATTGCTCAACAAATATGCCGACAGAAATAGAGATGGATTGAACTGTTGAGTGACGTCACGCGTGAGACTGTAGAGTGGGAGCCAAAAGGGAAATGATTAGTTGGACGTCCAAGGATCACATAGAGGAGATCGGAAGAGGAGGAGATGAAAGCTTATGGGCAATCGTAGAGCCAGGTAAAGAGGACTGTAGAGAACAGGATGAAATGGATATATATGCTGTTGAAGAACTATGTTCCACTAGGAACCCAAAGGAATAATAGTAAGTAATAACAGTAATAATGAAACACTTGTGATAGAACATTTAACACACGTTTTCATATGTTAAATGTAAACTGTTACTATAAGGCTAACATCAAGGGTGAAATCATTCAACACCTTCATTAGTCTACACTTTCCTGGAAAATCACATCACAATCCAGGTGAAACAGAAATCCGATGGAATATCGGAAAAGATCAAAACATAAAAAGCCCAACTGACTTTAACCAACCAACACCAAGAATAAAAGTGAGAGATTCGAACGCTTATTAGAAGATGATTGGACTGCATAGTGGTAATTTCCTGTATACACCTATAAAAGTGTATGAAATATTAAAAAAGGTTTTAAGTATTCAGTTACTACTGCTCCCTTTTAAAAAAATAGTAGGACTACTAAACAAATGACCAAAATTAAACTTAAACGCTTGGACAAAAGGAGGAAGAAACTAAGTTGATAAGATTTTGAATCTTCATAGAGTTAGTTCAATATATGCCATATACAATCAGTTTGTATCTCAATAGCTGATGTTAACCAAATTAAGATCGGACCAAAAGAAAATAAAAAAGTGTCTACCTTTGAAATCAATGATTGTTGGTAATTAGGGAAAGACAATGTTTTAGCCTAGTATATGTAATACAACCGAAATAATGTCGTGGTATTGATACTTTCGCTATAGCTTTTAAGTAAGGTGTGGTAAATCTAAGACGACTTTATTTCTTTGTATATGGCTTTCTTCTATCCGGTAGTATTTTCACAACTGTTGATACATATACTCTATTGGTTTGACAGCTTTCATTTTGATGTGACGATGTGACTTGAATCGATACTCGGTTGTACTAAGATCTTGTGCTTGCTGAACCAGATGTTATCAAACGACAAAACCACAATTTCCGTTTACACGCAGCTGGCGATGAGCTGCATATATTGTGTGACAGCTAATAAAACCACTTGGATACCCAACCCAAACCTAGAGAGGTGGAGTGTAGTTCGTACACGTGACCCCATGGTTGAAAATCAAGCGCATAAACCAATGAGCCACCGTTCCAATAAACGGAAGAACAGTATCATATCAATCTTTGATTGGACACTAACTTGTGTCATGTCCTTTGTTTACTGCAGACTAAATTCAACCAGTCAAGTGTGCAATGTGGCCACCATGCTAGTTGGCAGATACGCCTTGCTGACGAGTCCCAACAAGCACGAAACCTAGGTCCAAAGCTTCCTACCGATCGCCTCTAACCATATATTAACATATCAATCTATTACGCCACCAACATTTTTATTTTTAAAAGAATACCAGTAAATAGCGAATATGTCACAGTATCAGTCAATATTACTTCATGAGTATGATTAGGTCGGATAAACACAAAAAATGACATTCATCTTCAAAATAGTAAGACTTTCGGTGGCCTTCTTTCATCGCTGGACTACGCTAATTTTTTATCCATAAAATTTATCGTATTGACTCCCGTTTCAGATTATTTTGATCATCTATATGAATCACAATCTATACTCACGCACCCACATACCGATACGAATCTTTTGAAGGAAATGGAAAAGCAAGATTGTGGGGTACTAAAGTATGCTTCAGATGGAACAATATTACTTCAGATATATCGATTATTGTATTACTTGAAGATCCCGAAAAAGCGTTAAACACCTTGCAATGCAACATGATGAAAATTCTATTTTGTGTATAAACAGATTTTTCATAATAAGGCTATTATTACTATTGTAATTCGAGTGATTCAGTTTCTTACTCATCTCTATGTTCGATCTGACCAACAGTTTTTGGAATATTTTAAAAAAAATCAATCAGTACTTAGGGAAGCATAATACAATCCTTCAAGGAAATATACATACCAGTAATTTCGTGAAATATATGACGACGGTTTTCATCATTACAAATAGTTCGTTCACCGATTTCATCTTGTGCAAGTGGTGCAGATTTATTTCGCATATGAGGAAAATTTGTTGAGTCAAGAAATTCAACATCTGCTAGAAGTAAATCTTGATCTTTGGAAGTTGATAAAACTGCGGTCTTCTGTATAAACTTTGATGATCCTCGTTTTTCAAAACTACTTTTTGTTATACCTGATGTTAATAAATTGCTAACAACTTTATCGCTTGTTGGACTGCATTTTGTAGAATGCACACTAGCAGATCCAGTTGAAAAAAAAGATGGTGTAGATGAACAAGATGAATTAAATTCACCTGCATTCTTAAAGTTAAGTGAACTTTGTTTAGCAGTGAAAATTTCAGAACCTGATGGAGAATCAACAGAGTTGTCTGCAGTAGGTGTGACAGGATCAACGCGTATTGATGAGACATCTTCGACAAAACCTATACTATGGTCATCACCAGAAGCAGTTACAGTTGACGGACGACTAACAGCCGGATGTGAGTCTGAATGATCTAATAATTTAACAGTAGGATAATTGAAATTCTGCGTAGTTGTTAGTTGTTGACGTTTAGCAACTGTTGGAGGGGTAGGTGTTCCACCATGTTCTGAATTTGATAATGTTTGACGTTTCTGATCATATGTACGTGATTCGAAGTGACTGAAGGCTAACTTTGGATTGTAATTCTATGCAGAGAAATAAAAAGAAAAAATAGACCAAATGAATTTTCCTTTCAAACATCTATGCCCACAGCACGGTATGCAGTATGAGCATTACAAAAGGTTCGTGTAGAATTTACCAACTTGCATCATCACTGGTATAGGCGTGATATTTGACTATTCATCAAAGGACGTGTGTATTGTTGAGCAGTTCACTTCGTCTTCCTTTGTGGCTGTGAGACATGGACATTAAAAGTGGTAGATATGAAAAGACTAGGTGTCTTTGATCATAGATGTCTGCGTCCTATTTCCCATGTTAGCTGGTTTAATAGAGTGAACAATATTGAAGTTAGGCATCGAGTTTTAGGTAAGAAGGGGGGATCAGTCGACGACGTTGCGAAATTACACCGATTGGGATGGTTAGGAGGTGTGTTACGCATGCCTAGCTATCCATCTCCTTCCTCGACGGGTAATTTCAGCTGACATATGATGGATCAGGTTGGAAAAGAGATAGTGGTGGTCAAACTAAAACATGGCATCAATCAATGAAATCCACGATATTTCGTTCAAGCTATGTTGGGAGGTGTAGACTTCCGGGTTTGGGTCCTCGGGATGCTAATAACAAATGACTGGAGAGAACCAGTTATATGGCTCAAAATCGTTCTCAATGGTTGGCGCTTATGCATTCACTCTTTGTGATCTGCAGTATTCATTAAACCACTATCGTTTTTCTGTTACTATTCTTTTTCCCTCACATTTATGTTTATCATCGATTTTTTTGAATCTCGTTTTTCTCTCTCCTTTGTGTGCTTCGTGGAGTGTAGCAAATCGAACTGCTGAACTTATGTGTAAAGTTCTATATTGAAACCAGTCAGTCAGTATGAGCATTAAATGAAATCATAGTTAATACAGTATTATACTAAATGGTGTACAATGCTATTAAATCTAAAAGATGAGGGTAACAGACAGTTACAGTTTATATGCAAACACAATGAGTAAACAATTAGGATTTATTAGAAAAATGTTAGAATACCAACTAAATGCAACAAAATTAAATACATATTATTCCATCTTTTAAATTTAATTGTTTACAATCATTAAAAAGCAGGGAAGGAGTAGAATGAAGCATTACTCAACAGCCTTAAAATACAAGTTGATCAGTTGCCAGTCTGAGGCTAAATCTCCTCTCTTCCTAGGAGTAAACTAGATGGTTTAGAAGTCAGTCGAACAAGAATCGAACCTGGACCTCCTGCATGGCTGACTCGCGTCCTACCTTTGAAGTGTAAACTAAAAGGAAATCTTCTATAGTTTTGTTTGTAAGGAAATCTATGCATTTGATCGTTATAAAAATACCTATTATTCATACTGATGATGAGGATTATTTATGAAGGATCAAATATTTTGATATGCTTGTGTTCCCTGAGTTGGGTGGTTTCGTCGCGATGCTTTCATTGTTTTTCTACATGTCCTCTGCGCAGACTTCAGCACAAAGTCAATTTTATTTGAATACTAATCAAATCAGTCAAAATCAAATTAATTTCCATTATAATTTAAAAGAATAACTTGTGAATAGGCCTTATATCTTATGTATATGTGTGCAAAACAGATGTTGCTTAATCAATGAATTATTTCGCTTTTTCCATGTATAGGTGCACCCGTACACACACACAGGCGGGACATAATGACATACAAAAAGATACGCAAAACAAGTACATTTATGCACAGGAATGCCTGTGGATAAGAAACTAGTTGTCCTACAGTAGCCACAGATGGGACAAACAAGGTTTATCAAGATAAATAATGAAAAATAATCATTAAAGAATACATATGGCTGGATAAATTTTAGTGTGTTGTATGTGCATATACATATATATATATATACCAAGTGATTTATTTGGTTGGATGGATAGGTAGTTAGACGACAATGAGCGAACATTATCACTTTATTATTATTATTATTAAGGGAAAGTTTAAAAAATGTACTCTTCAACTTTCTTTTTTATCACACGATCTGTAAGTAAATTTAAAATTGAAGAAAATAAAAAACAATTCAGAGAAGAAAAATCTTGAAATTGTGAATGAGAAGTCAATTTATTGATATTTTATTTGCTACAGGTATATCCACAGAATGAGATAAATGAAGAAAATGAGTGATAATAGCTGAGACCTCATCATAGAATAAGCTAGCTGACAGTAAACTATATTTATATTGTATTCGTGTATATATGCTACTAGATTACTGTAATGTGTTTGTGTATATGTATGTATGTATACATGCATAAATATTTTCGGCAGAAAATTTCCAGTCTTCGATATAATTTCATCAGAAATAATAATTTATGATACACGTCAAGTGTAATTTGTTGAGTACTTCGAAATTACTCCTAAATAATCATACTGAACTAATCTAAAGTTTTCCTCTTCTCTTTATTCCTTTGCTTTTCGGGTGGAACACACAGGGGGCCTCAAGCTTCATTAACTGTTGCTTTTTTTTACTGGATGAGAGTGCTGGCTTCGCCACCAACCTTCCCTCTTTGCCGGCTAAGCAAGGTTTAGGAGTGAGCCGATCGGGAATCGAACCTGGACGCAACGTGTGTGGTTGACGAACATCCTACAATTGAACCATTGACGCACCAGTCCAAACAGTAAGTGATCATTTATTTACCACGTTTGCTGCAACTAGTTAGTTAGTCGTTTGTGAAGTACACCGTTCAAGGTGAAAAATTCACTAGTGTCCTTTCAAGAACCAAAAAGAACACAGTATGACTCGATAGACACCGTTAATGACACCAATAGTATACATCATACTGCATTTCCTCTTCATTTTTGATACGACCATTTATTCTGTCATCGATTCAGTATGTACATTACAAGTATGTTATTATTTGCCAAAATATTTTCTTGACAAAAGGAATAAGTATTTCCCAGTAACATTAAGTGATAAAGAGGATGAAAAGAATACTATTAACTTATTTTAAAAGGGAGATTATTCCAACTGCTAACTAAATATTCGTAACAATTAAGAATGGTTTTAAAAAGATTCACCGCTGCATTAATCACTTACCTTTCATCAAAATATACAGTACAAACTAAGAGATTTAAAGGGATGAAAACTATTCGATCAAGTGTTACAAAAAATTTACAAGATATCGGGTGAACGATTACAAACGTCTTGATAGTCAGATTGCTACAAAAAACTACATCAGTAGTCGCTAAATTGAGCTGTTCATCCGTTTAAAGGTGCATCATTCATTGCGAAGTACAGATAAAGATGAGGTCAAATGATGTAGTTACACAACTGCGGGAGGAAACCACGGGATGCAAAAAAATATACCTGTGTCTTTAATATACGGTTGTTTATAAAATGTGTACCTACTGGAGGAATAATAAAGATAGTATAGAAGCAACACAATCAAACAAAGGCAAAACTGATGTCGTCTAACTGCAAGTATAACGGGTGTCAAACACGTGATCTATCAGCTGGAAGCATATTTTGTAAACGAATAAACTCCACAAGAGTGATCGACTAAATTTCAACGTAGAAATTTGTACAAAATCGCAGCAGTTCAAGTTTTTACACCCCATGTAGCACACAAAAATAGTGAAGAATAAAAATTCAAAGGAACTATAATGAATGTAAGTGTACTCGAGAGAGAATAAGTATATGGACAGTAATGAGAATTTGATGGATCTAGGAGTTCATAAAGAGAGAATGAAACTCCCTCAGAAGATTTTAAACAATGTGATCAACAGTCTCAAGCCATTGGTTTTTTAGTGTATCAGTAGTCCCAACCAGGCAGTCTATACCTCCATACGTGCCTCAAAGCAATAGTCGCACACTTCATGGATTAACACCACCCTCTGATTTGACCACCTCTAGATCTCAAACGCAATTGTATATCAGTTAACATTACTCAAAGAGTAAGTTAATACCCTGGCATGTGTAACGCATGCCCTAGCCATATCAATCGATACAGCTTCACAAACCGCATGGATTGAATTTCCCTCCTTGCTTAACACTCTAAACTTGACCTCAATGTTACTCAACATATAACAGCAGCTAAGACGAGAGGTAAAATACAAGCACCTGTAGTAAAAATAGCTTTCCTCATCATATGGTCCACTTTTAACGGCCACGCCTTACAACCAAAAAGGACGGAGTGAACTGCTGCGCATTACATATGCCCTACGATCGATGACTAGGCACCATGTATACGGCAGAGATAATGTGAGTTGGCAAATGCCATATGAGCCAATCTGCGAATCCGTCTACAGTCAGTCCACTAGGGTTGATGCGATTATCCGATTAAAAGAAGTGGTCAAAAAGTCTAGCTATTTCACTCCCTATCCTTAAACTAGGAGTTCGTGCAGACCAGTCATGCATCATACACTCCACATGAAAGAATCGCTTGCCAAACATACTAAGATTTCTGCTCAAAGCATCTAGAAGACTCTGAATTTTGTCAGCGTCTCCACCCAGAATGAATATATTATCTTCATACTCAAAGTCGACAAGGCTGCTCTGATAATAAAAAGTCCCTCAGTCACCGGAGTCGATCAGGGTAACATCTCTTAGTATATCTCTGATGAAATTAAACAAAGGTGGAAATACTGGAGGTTCCTGATGGATATAACTGCTTGTCGTCACTTCAGATGACAACTCTCCATAGACTCCTACATAGCTGCATAAGTTTGACTAGAGTACCTTGATTGGTGCGATTTAATTTGTGGGCACTTCCTAAACGACCAGACATTGCCACAGCTCCTCTGTGTCAAAATAGTTAAATCTCACCTTCACGTTAAGAAATATGGAAAGTCTCAGGCGCCAGTAACGTATGTCTACACCGTAAAATCTGCCGAAGGGTGAAGATATGATCAATACGCCCTCGCCCGACCCGAAAACCTCACTGGTTTTTAAGGGGTTGTTTCTTTCGATCACTGGTTAGTCCGCGTAGGACCATAGAACCTAGAACTTCACATATCATGTTAGTCAAGCTAATCCGACTTTGATAATCATAGGAAGACCTGTTTCTCATTTTATAAACTGGGATAATATCAATGATTCACGCCAGTCTAACGGGAATATCTCTGGCCTTCAAACATTACTTAACATCATAGTCAACTCGATCAAGAGTTCATCCTCACCATTCTCAAACACCTCTTGAGTTAGACGATCATATTTTGCTATTTCACCTTGTTATAGATTAGAGACAACTTTTGTAACCTCAGTTACAGTTGGAGGACTGATGTCTACATCCTATAGGAATGAAAACTGAAAGGGAAACGAACTAAAAGACTACAGGATAATACGCTGACACAGTCCATTGTGTATTATTGATATAAGTATAAAACTTATGCACTGTGGTAGAGTATAACTCCATTATAGATGAGATTTTATTTTGATAAATCACACACTGTTATACAGTAATATTAACTGATGACGTTTCGAGCACAAACTGTTGCTCATAATCATATCAAGTTACTCACACAACTTTTTTCCTGCATTTATATACATGTATGAAATTGAGCAGATATTTGAATAAAAATCATCTTCTCGGGGTCAACCATTCTTACTTTAGCTAAATTCTTATGTTCCGACAATCTCACTACTCCTGATCTACTAGTTTGACCTATGTAGTTGACCTCACAGTCATTGCAAGGTGTTTTGTAACGTATATTATCATGTTTAATTGGTTCCACCGGGTCTTTTAGCCTACAGAGCTTGTCTCTGAGTGAGTTTGTAAGTTTGAATGCCACCCTAATTCCTGCTTTGTTGAGAATCCTACGTAGGGCCTCAGATGCCCCCTCCTTATATGGTATAACAGTAGATGACTTATATTCTCTCTTATTTATGTTATTGTTACTAGTTTCACCATTATTTTTAATTTGCTTTTGGACTTTTTCGATCTTCCTAATGAATCTTATAGGATAGTTATTTAACACCAACGCCTCTTCTATCTGTTTTATTTCATCATTTAGGTCTTTTTTTGTGCTACTTAGAGCTACTGCTCGGTTTGTTAGACACTTAACTAAGCCTGCCTTAACAGTTAACGGATGAGATGAATTAAAGTCTTAATATCTATTAGAATGCGTTGGTTTTTTATAAACGCTAGTGTGTAGTTTACCTTCTTCTATTCGTTTTATTTTACAATCTAACATAGCTAATTCTCCTTGTTCATTTTCCGATTCAAATGTGAATTTTATTCCCTCTACTAGTGAGTTTATATGTGTCAAGAAGCTAGAGATATGTTCTGTTTTTAACACTGTGAAAGTGTCATCCACATATCTTCACCATATTTTTGGAGTAGGATTAAATGTGTTAAGAGCAGTAATTTCCCAGCTGTCCATAAATATATCTGCTACGATAGGGGATATTGGTGATCCCATTGCTACACCTTCTGTTTGTTTATATATTTTGCTTTGTAATTTAAAGATAGTAGATGTGAGGCGTAACTGAATTCCAAAAATAATTTCCTCAATAGGCAGCTTTGTTCCATTGTGTATATCATGAGACAGGATCAAAAGAGAACGGATGCATTGGTGCATGTGGAAATATCGTTAAGCAATCTACAATTTAATTACTTGAGTCATCTAGACAATAAGATAATAGTTCACTTTTCCATTCCATAGACCAATTTACAGCCAGCAAGATTTGATGTACTGCTCCTTTTTTTCTATCTGCTTTTTAGTTTGAAATGAGACTAGGCTAAACCAATCAGTATTGTTGGTTGATTAGTTGGCTAAAGTTCATACTACGAATTATAAATTAAATATTCAAATTCAATAGTAAACTGATTTTTATAATTCCCCTTTTAGTTAACACTGTAAAACTTAGAAAATATCAATTTCACTAATATATGACAGCAGTAACAAGCAAAGCATGTACTGTGCGATGACTGTGGCAAAAACTGTACAGTGCTAGCAAATAATTTGAAACTATAAAAACAGCGACAACTTGAACTAATCAACTAGTAAGCCATTATTGCAGTTTTACCACTAGGTTTTCTTCACAAAAGCAAGTAATTACAGAAATGATTCAAATTTATGAATGTTAAGTAACTACGAAGTTATTTTGGTTGATGGTGAAACTAGTAGTGAAATTCATGGTGCGCATTTTGTCCTACGTGGGACTCTTCGACTGGATGTACCTGGATTCTCAATGATTGATGGTGTTCCCTACTGAGACTCGAACCTTGAACCCACCATTTCAAACGCCAACGAAGGTATATCCAGAGGGCGGGTCCCAAATAGGACGAAATGCACATCCTGAACACAATTTTTAGTCCCCATCAACCAAACTAATCTTACGGTAATCTTCAGACAATTTCGGAGCGCCCGTTCTAGGAACCAGTATATATCAACGAGCACACAGCATCTTGTTCCAATGTAATCTATTAACGGGAAATGCAAATTATCCTAAACAACTAAGCAGCTATATTATGCATGTACATGTGATTTACTTGATACAATAAGCGGTAGTTCGGAAAGCAAGCATAATTGCATGAAACTATGCACTAGCGATTGATTGAGATGAGTAGTGGTATACCATTCACATCACTCAACTGTTCAGTCTTCTAAACTATCAAAAGTGTAACGTACCAGATTAAAATTCTAATAACAAAAGTGACTTACAATATCGTTTATCTTCTCCAAGTTAGATGTTGGCAATGTTTCCATGATTACATCAGGTGTACATTCCTCCATATCAGAACTTTCAGCTTCACCTGAATACGAACCGGTCAGTGAAAATGGATCCAAGTCTCCAATACTTATTAAGTCATCATCATCTATTTGACTGTTGGATAGGGAATCATCATCATCACGAAATTCTGAATCACTCGAATCGGATATTGACCCACTAGAATCTGAAGGTGGACCAAAGAAGGCAGCAGCTGTTTGAACGCGATGACCATTGGGTAATGTAGCCTGAACAATAACATGAATCATGAAAGCGTTAAAACATTAGAAAGTAAAAAAGCTAATACTCAAAACTAATATATATATATATATATATGTTGTTCCAGTTGTGACGACCACTGTCTTTTAGACATCTCTTCGGTATCTAGGGATTTCTTTTTTGTTATTAAAACCAAGTAGTGAAATAATAGAGAAGATTTGTAGCTCAGGTGGATGATTTGCAATTAATAGTGTTCTCTGAGCTCAGAGAACATTATTAATTTCAAAACCAAGTAGTTTCAGTGAGATGAAGATATGAAGAGACCGGGAATTTTTAACTGTAAGTTCAGTTCCTCGTGTTAGGTAGAGCAATATGGTCAGTAGTAATGAAGTTAAGCATAGAGTGCTAGATAAGGTAAGATGACGGGGGGTCAACAGATACGGTTATGATTGTATTACGTATGCCAAGTAATCACACTCTTCCCTTGATAAGTAATATTAGCTCAAAATAGAATTAAATTGGGAAAGGGTTACGGTTAATTGGACCAAACTATATCGCTAGTCCATGAAATTATTGACTGGTGGTTGAGCCTGTTTGGCTAAGTTCCTCCGGTTGCAGAGAATCAATGGTCAGAGGCTGTTGATGACGTGACAGTGACGTAAAAGTACTCACTCCTTGTTACCATCCCCATATTTTGGAAATCCTTACTGACTTTCACAAAATTATTCTTTCTCAAGTGCATTTTTGTCTGTTGTAGTTTCATAGCATTTATTCTATCCACTTTTGCACTTTCCACTTTTTAACAAAGTTATCAGTCAGTTATATGGCCAACTTCAATTGCACTTTTTAAAACCCTAATGAAGCGAGGCAAGATTTAAGAACTAAAAGCATTTATACCACAGACAAAAAACGGCACGGTATTTGGCGTGTAAAACCCACCTGTTCAGTTTCTGTCATCAACCATCCCGTTCGTAATAAAGCAGTTTGAAGCCAAGCATAATGATCACGCTTCAGAGTAACAGGATCGGGATGACAAAGTGCTTCTAATTTTGTTCCAGGTGAAGGTCGTAGTACATATACACAATCCTGGAATAACTCTCGAATAAACACTCTCATTAGCAAAAAAGAAGCGCGGAACCAGAGAGGAGCAGTTAGGACCAATACACGTCGAAGACGTACAGGGTAGGAAGACTTTGTATCGAAATACATATTTTTTTAAAGAAAAAATATAAAGCTTATTTAGTCACCAAAAGGCCCCACATTAATCTCACAAAAGCGTCAGATTCAGAAATAAATAACATCATTAAAAACATATTAAACGTGATGAGTATTTAATTCCTAAGGAAATGGCTTCAGAAATTCACAACAAATGAATATAAACAATTGTTTACCCATTTTTCAACAGCTAACCCAGTCGTTAGAGAATGTAACGAGACAACTAGCTATCTTACAAATTAGGCCTTTGATAATCACAAACTTGATGGGGACGAAAGTTTAAAGCATACAGCGGGTGACCAGAGAGCAGTATTGTTTACATTTAATAAAAAATGTTTCAAGCCAGTGATTTCCAATGACCGATTAAATGCCGACCTACTTAATTTTAAGAAACATATGCTTAGCTTAATCTAACCGCCTAAAACATTCTGTCTGTTTTCGACATAGAACTTTGCACCGATGTGCAGCAGTTCTAGTCGCCACACTCCATGTAGTACACAAAGCAAAAGAAGAAATGCATAATAGAGACAGTAAACAGAGGTGTGAGACAAAGGAATAGTAATAACGAAGAACGATATAGTTCCATTGCAAATCATAAGTCACAAGGAGTGGATGCATCTGCGCCAGCCATTGAGAACGATTTTGAGCCATGTCACCAATTGTTTCCAACCATTGGTTTTAACCGTCCCGAGGACCCAAAACAGGAAGTCTACACCTTCTTACGTGGCTTAAACTAACTGTTGTGGATTTCACTAACTGGTGCCATGTTTTCGTTTGACCACCACTAGCTTTTCCAGCCTGACCCTATGTCAGTTAACATTGCCCGTCGAGGAAGGCGATGACTAGACATACGTAACACATGTCCTAACCATCTCAGTCGATGTAATTTCACAGCCTCTTCGATTGTTTTCCCCTCCTTACCTAGAACTCGACGCCTAACCTCAATATTGCTCACCTTATTATACCACTTCGCATGGGAGATAGAACGCAGGCACCTATGATCGGAGACAGCTAATCTTTCCATGTCTTCCACTCTCAATGGCCAGGTCTCACAGCCATAAAGGAGGACGGAGCGGACTGATGAACAGTACAACCGCCCTTTGGTCGATAGCCAGATATCACATCTACGCCAGAGACGGTATAAACTAGCATATGCAAAACTAGCCCTCGGTATCCGTACTGAGATTTCGTCAGAGATCAGCCCGTTGATGCTGATGGTACTTCCCAAATAAGTGAAGCGGTCAACGTGCTCTACCACTTCACTCCCTATTTCTAAACTAGGAGTCAGTGTAGTCCAGCCCTGTAACATCATCTTACATTTGGCGGGAGCGAATCGCATGCCAAACATTCGTAGATTGCAGCTCAAGGTGTTCAGAAGACTCTGCATTTTGTCAGCGTCCTCGCCTCGAAGGGCTATATCGCCTGCATATTCTAAGTCAACGAGATTATTCCCTGGTAGCAAGTCAGTCCCTGAGTCTCTGAAGTGAGTTAGGGTTAAGTCCATTAGTACATCTACGATGAAATTGAATAGAAATGGGAATAATGGGCATCCCTGACGGACACCACTAGTCGTCACCACTTCAGATGACAACTCGCCATGAGCCCTCACCTGACTGCATGAGCTCGAGTAGAGTGCAATGTATTTTCTCGGCATTCCATTTACTGCCAATCATCGCCAGAGTACCTCTCGGTCGACAGAATCGAATGCCGCCTTTAGGTCAAGAAATATAATGATTGTTGGACGCCGGTAAGAATGTCTATGTTCTAAAATCTGTCGAAGGGTGAAGATATGATCAATACACCCTCTTCCTGGTCTAAAGCCTGCCTGGTTCTTTCGTGTTTGTGCCTCCCGAGCACCACTTAGTCTACGCAATATTATTGAGCCTAGGACTTTAGATACTATATTAGTCAAGCTAATCCCTCTGTGATTATCATAGGAAGACTTGTCTCTCTTCTTGTATATGGGGATAATCAGTGACTTACACCAACCCGATGGGACTTCCTCCGATTCCCAGACGCTGCCTGGTACCTCAGTTAACGCAGACAGTTAACTGTCTCCACCGTATTTAAATACCGCTGGAGTCATTCCATTAAATCCTGATGCTTTGCCTTGTCTCAGATTAGTGACAGCTTTAGTAACCTCAGTTAGGGACGGAGGATCTGTGTCTATATCCCATTTCAGGGTGGTGTTGGATGCTAGCTAAGTTGAGCGTGGCTGTCGGCCAATTAAATTACTCCTCGAAGTTTTCTTCTCAACGTTTCAGTCGTCTATCCTGAGAGCTAATTATGGTGCCATTTTTCTCAGAGATTGTTTTACTTATCGTTCGCCTTTTACCACCTGTTTCCCTGATAAGCCTGATTAGTTGTCTGGTATTACCTATCGCCGATGCCTTTTCCATCTCTTTCGCTCTTGTCGCCCACCACTGTACACGGTCGTTGCGAAGACTTCTTGTTAGTTTTCGTTTGAGTAGCTTTCGCTTCTCATAATAATCGGTGCTCACCGGAATCAGTCTTTTTGCGTCAATCAGTTCGGATGAGGCGGTAGAAATCCAATGACTCTTACTAACTTTTGGTTTTAGTTTATTAACAGCTTTTACAGCTGTGTCTACAGCTAACTGTATGTTGTGCCAGGCTACCTCAGGGGAAGTCCTGCTGTCCACCTCAGACACTCGTTTTGCTATTTCTTCTTTAAATAGGGACTCAGTGTCAAGATCTAGTTGGGGACGTAACTGTTTTGTTGCCATCGATTTCTTATGCCCGTTTAGTCGTAAGCATAAACGTGCGCGAACCAGAGCGTGATCAGAGTCTACGCACGTGCTCCAGAAGGAGCGGCAGTCTTCTACTGACCCTCACCAACGATACCCTATCGCTATGCGGTCTATCTGAATCCAGCGTTGATTTGGTGATGGAGGTCGCCAGGTTACGCAGTGTCTCTCTTTGTGCCTAAAGTTAGTGCTGACTAGGAACAGATGATTATCTCAGCAAAACTGTAGAAGACTATCACCGTTGTCGGTTCGTCGGCAGGGAACTCCATACGTACCACCTACATACTTCTGTCTGGCACAACTTCCCTACTTGGGCATTGAAGTCGCCTGCTAAACCAACTATATCTCAGCGTTTTGATTTTTGCAGCAAATTAGACAGTTTCAGGTAGAAATCATCCTTTAGTTCATCTGAACGGAGACTACGAAAAGGCAACGACGGGTAGCGCCATCCTTCCTTCTTTTAACGGACCCATTCAGACGGACCGCACACATACGACTGTCTACTGGGATCCAGTCAAGATGTGATTTTTTTCGCCCTAACACTCAGTGCTATCCCTACACCTGCGAGTCCTCACGAGATAGCTGAGGGGTCTCCTGACATCCTTAAAGTGAATTTTGCAGATCCACTTTGTTGACCGGGTGAGGTTAAATGAATGACCACACTCGGGTCTTGTATGCGTGTCTCCGAAACACAACATACATCCATGGCTCGAGATGCCAGAGTTCTTTCTAGTGATGCCTGTTGTTCGATTTGGCAGATGGTCCCTACGTTCAATGCTCCTATATAAAGTTGGCGACGTGGCTTTAAGAGGCTATCTGGGGTGTTTCTATAGCTCTCATCGTTATTTGTGGTCACAGAGTGAAGTGAAGATGACTCACTAGCCTGCAGAATAGTACTAACTGTAGTAGAGAAGCAAGATGAGGACGGTGATGTGAGTAGAGAATAATGCTCAGGAAGGATTCGTGTGCTTTTGGAAGTGTGTAGGCGGTTGTTACTTCCCGGCTGCCCACACCGTGGAAGTTGATTGATTCTTCGAGTACCTGAAACAGAGAGAGGATTAGTGCTGCGTGACCGCAGAGCCCAGGGGACAACTGCTTGAGGACGGTCACACGGCCTGTATGAACTGGTTTCTTGGTTTGGTTCCATATTAGTAAACTTACCACCGGTTACGGACCACCGCAGGGTAATTCGGGACGTACAATTTTTGGGGTCGACCTTTTCTAACCCCCTCTCTCCGGAGTGAAGAGACAGCATAGCTGGCATGCTGGTCATCTGAGGGAAACACCCTACTGCTGTTACATCCCTGTTCCCCAGCAGTACAACTTCGCCCTCAGACCCCCCCCAGCATAGTGTAAGAAAGATTCTTACACAATGCCAGTAACTGCTTTTAGTCTAATCGCTATCATAACAACCTTCCTGGCATGGTAGGACCTGCAGGAACATTGGTTCCATCCAGTGTAGCTTGTTGGGTCATCGCGATGTGCAAGCCCGACCACTACGTCAAGGTAGCAGCTATCGGTCGGGCCTATAACATTCAGTTTTTTATGATACAAATAAATGATGAAACTTCATAAAAACACATAAGATACAGAAAAGTAACATAAAAGCTATGTATACTGGTTGGAGAAAGTGATGGGGATAAACATATGTCTCTGACTACTCAACATTCACATATGTACGATAAAAACGCCTAGTGAAAGGTCAAATGCATAGGAGACACCTGAGAGACGCAAGTGTTACTTCATATGTTTGAGTTTCAAAATAATAAGTTTCGTAATCAAAACGACAGCGGGTGCAATCAGTCGTCTCTAGTCTCATTTGTTAAGTTTGTGTCAGTAATGAGAATAATTCACTGACAAAAAATATTTGATAGGAACAGAAAAATAATCAAGATAATGAAATACAGACACTTTTGGGTCGTAAAACAGCACTTGTCATTAAATACAAACCCATATAACGATTAGTATCACATATACCATTTCAATCTTGGCTTCCCATGGAGTTCAGAAATCAAAACGAGAATCTGAGGATATGTTTGGTGATACAGTCTACCGTTCAATTTTAAATTATATGAGTCAGTATAACCACTTAGGTCAGAGATAACAAAGCTATTATTCACACAAGAGATTGTTTTAAAAGGGTCTTATACATCAAATTGAGTAATCGTATAACTTTAGCACCATAGATTATAAATCAGGCAAAAAAGTAAATTACCTTCCTCTCGAGTACATGTGTCGAAACCAAGTTTATAATAATCCACAATCAACATCAACATTACACATGACGGAAAAAGTATTCTGAAGATATAGACCTGACCAGTTATGATTCCATAGATCAAATACCTCAAGCTGTGTCAGAAGAGTACTCGATAAATGCAGCATTAGAGTTTGCTTCAAAACATCAGACACACTAAAAAGTAAACTTGTTCATGTATCTGTAAAACCAATATGCCTCGAATGTGATATGATAGACATCGGACAGACCTCGCGACAAATCACAATCAGAAGAAATGAACACCATAGAGCCTCTATTCGACCACTGAGAAGTTCAGTGGAATCGGAAACGCTTTGTAGTCAGACCATAAAATTCATTTTGGCAATATTAAAATCATCCAGGAAAATTTCAGAAATCACAAAGGACGTCTCATATTAGAAGCACTTCATATTAAATGGAATCCTAATTGTCTGAATAAGAACGACAGATTAAAACAGAATCTCACCTGATTTCAACACACACACATATACACGCCATGAAGTGACAAAATCAACACAAATATGATAAGCAATTTGAATATGCAAACATGCTGTTTTTAAAATTTCATACACTTATCAAGTCTAACAATCTGCACATGGTTTGTTATCTTTACCATTTCAACCATTTGACAACGTATAAACTGCCTCACGCTGAAGAAATGTGATTAAGTTACTTTATATATCAGCTGAGATTGTGTAAATTTTAGTTTAATACTACTTTTGGTACGGTTATTAGGATTAAATAACGGAACGCCAGTAAAAACAATATTGTTCCACCTTTTTTTGATTCATTGGAAAGTACAAAAACCGTTATGATAATGAACATCTTCCTTTCACTTTGTAATGTCTTAATACAGGAACACTACTGGTAGGAGAAAACGAAAGTATTTGAATAAATTACAATGAATGGTTAATAAATATTAAGCATTACATTTAACCCACTCTTCCAATTAATAAAACCTACTTCTACAATAGGATAAATTCTCCCTTCGGTGTTTGCTTAGTCACTGTTTTGCTTGTCTTCAATGTTTCCGTTTAATTTCTCTAAAATCGTTAATATTGAAGGTCAGCTGTTTTCACTATAACAGTGGTCAGTAACTATCTTGCGGTTAAACATTAAACATGCATGTTTTTACACCTTACAAAGAATAAGCACAATCGCCTCCATAATAAAGTATATTAATCTCTTAAGTTAATAAGCGTAGATTAAAAAAGAAATATGAATAAAAGTTTACAAGGGTGTATTAAAATTAAAGAAATATCTCTTAACATAAGACCTACTCGTAGCATTTTAAACAATTTGCAAGAAAAATTGTAGTCGAAATTGGAATATTTGGAATCTGTCATGTCAAAAATGAAGACCAAACCATTTCTGGCAGCTGTTTCTCTAAAAGTGAAAAAGCAACACATTATTAACTTGTAATGGCTCAAATTTAAAAAAAAACAAGACGCGTTTTACATGAATGATAACTACAGATACGACTTGTTTTTTCGTTGAAGCCCACAATGAATAAACCAGAGGTGAAAAAAGACCACGCTGTATGTTTGTTTGAACTCGACTACCCAAAACAGAGTTTTCATGTACCAGGCTATGTAATGGCCACATTATGAGGGCTGGTGAAACTGTTCAGCTATCCAGGTTGAAGTAGGCTGTGTGGGACTCAGACTGACTGCTTTCAACGTATAACTTTGCACAGATGTGCAACAGTTCGAGTTGCCACTCTCCATTTAGCACACAAAGCAAGAGAAGAGAGTAAAGAGAGATTCAAAAGCGATTACAAACAGAGAAATAAGGAAGAACAATAGAACTTTATTGGGTATTATAAATCATAAAGAGTGAATGCGTAAGCGCCATTGACAACGACTTTGAGCCATGTCACCGATTGTCTCCAACCATTGGTTTTTACCATCCCGAAGACCCAAACCAGGAAGCCAGTCTACACCCCCCCCCAACGTGGCTTAAACTGACTGTTGTGGATTTCATTGATTGATGTCATGTTTTGGTTTGACCACCACTAGCTCTTTCCCAACCTGAACCTATGTCAGCTAACATTGCCCATCGAGGAAGGCGATGGCTAGGGATGTATGCGTAACACATGTCCCAACCATCTCAAACGATGCAGCTGCTTCACAACCTCGTCTATTGATTTCCTCTCTTTACCCCTAACACTCGACCGGTGCCTTATCTCAATATTGCTCACCTTATTATACCACTTGACACAGGAGATAGAACGCAGGTACCTATGATCAAAGACAGCTAGTCTTTTTATGTCTTTCACTTTCAGTGTCCGTGTCTCACAGTCATACAGGAGGACGGAGCGAACTACACACGCCCTTTGGTCAGCAGCCAGCCGGATATCAAATCTACTAAACTAGATATGGCGTAGGTTGGCGTGTGCTCAACGAGCCTTCTGTATCCGTGCTGAGATTTCGTTAGAGGTCAACGCTCTAGTGTTGGCTGATGCAACTATCCAAATAAGTGCAATGGTCGATACGCTCTATTAAACGTGCAGGAATTGTGCATCATAACAATCTCAAACTAACCTTTTCAATGCAGCATCCAACTGAAATATGATACTGTGTAACAAAGCTCGATGATTTCCTGATTTTCGATGCAACCTAACGAAAAACTGAGCCACACGAACACCAGGAATGTCATTATCGTTCTATTGGGTGGAAAATAAATAGCTTGTGAGTTCACTTACCAATATAACGAACTTCCCTGATAATAATTCACGTCTAATATCTTCTTCGAAAGGATCTACACGAGTAATCTGTTCACTAGCCAGAAAAGTCTACCAATGTTAGATCACTACGGAATAAATTGACACAAACCTGATAACTGTGGTACAACTCCAAGGCTTGTGGGACAGAAAACTTTCGTGCAGCCAAAACGTTGAAGGCTAGCTGTTGGTACTCAGGAGAACTTTGAGTGCTTTGGATAAGTGAAAGAAACTCTTCAACTTTCTAAAGTGAGGGAAAAACAATGTGAGACCAACCCAAGGGAATAAAAAGTAAAACGTACCAATGGATTAGGTAGCTCAGTTATTTCTGAAATGGCTTCACGCCGTCCACAAAACCCAAATACGTTTGATCAAAACCAACAACCAACAAGTGTAAAACAAGTATGTAAAAATAACACTGCATGTATCACACCTTCGTGTGAACAAAACATTAAAGTCCCTTAACGGAAACACTAAGTTACTTATCAATATAACCAGGAAATGTTTGACAAATTCCTAAATTTCACTATTCAAGGTAAATTATATCAGAAAATGTTAAGTTAGCTACATTATGTAAATATTTATTGGACACATACAAGCATTTTTTTTATTCGTTTCATTCCGACTGGGACATACGTCTTCCAGCTTTGAAGTTTCAGTGCTGATGCTGTTTTGCTAAGGGTTGGGTTGCGATTAGTGTGAGAGCAGAAATTGGGCAATGTGATGGAGTATAATACCATATCAGACACGTTTTTTGACGCAACACTGATGCAGTATAATTAACTAGATGACTTTTCAAGCACAACTCACTGCTAATTATCATATCAATTTGCCAGTGTCACACCTGGCCCTACCTATTTCCTGACCTTACGAACGGCTAGACGAAGTTTAGGAGTGAGTGGGCTGGGAATCTAACCCGGACCTCCCAAGTGGTTGGAGATCATTCCACCATTGAACCGCCAACGTGCACACAGGCAAGCTGAAGATGTTGCCTGTAAATTGCCACAAAACTGTAGTGTACATTGTACCTTTGAACTTTTGTTTGAATGAACGCAACCTGACCTTTAACCTACTTCCACTTTGTATTCCTGATCCTCCTGTACGGTTTCGGTTTCGCTCTCTCGCTGTACTTTCACCTAGTACACTCTCCAAGCTGACCATCGTCTCACCTCCAGATAAGTGTGTACCCTTTATTTCTTATCAAATTCTATATCTCTTTTTGTAAATACAGTTCTGTTCCAGTCACACTTGCCATCTCAAGTCTTTTAACTTTGATTCCGTTTGTTAGTATTTGCACGTTAGGCAGAGTACTATTAAGGCCATAAGCGGTGAAGTTTTGTAAGAGCGGTTATTGTTAGGTCGAAGTAATCCTAAGTCTAACTCCTACAAAACTACGCTGGAACATAGTAACAAGGCGATTTAGCTAAGCAATTAGACAAGATGAAATAAATAGTAAAAATTGATTATCTTATGGTCACATAGCTCAAAACTATCAAATAAGGCTTAGAATCGACATTGGTGGTGGTCGTGTTGGGGCAGAAATGTGAGAAAGAACAGTAAAATGGAAAATCATTAGGGTGGAACAGATAAGGGGGATCAACAAGAGTGAATGCATCCGCACCGTCAAGAACAGTTTTCAGCCATACAAGTCACCAGCATCTGGTTCTTAAAACCTCAATGGTCAAGACACGCATTTTACACTTACACACGTGGCTTAAGTCAGCAGCCAGCTCTCACAGACTGATAGCATATTTTGATTTGATTGCGCCTAACTCTCAACTTAATCCTATACTAGCTGACATTTGCATGAAGCAACAGCCCTGAGGACTTCTAGATAATCATGTGGAGCTGCAGCTTATAGGTTTGGGAGTCCAATTTTCGACCATCGGGTCAATGGATCAAACTTTGCTTCAACTACCATGTCAAGGTCAGGTGTTATCACTAACCGCAACACAATAGGTGCGGCTCGTCGCCAACTATAAGTGTTTTTGTGATAACATATTTCAGTCACATTGAGACGAAAATTGCTCAACATCATCGAAATGAAAACACACCATCAACAGAAGCAAATGCCTTTGAGGCACGTGGGTGAGCACTGAGGTAATTTAGCTGGATGCACCGAAAAATACCACGGAAATGTGATGTGGTTAGTTACTAAGTTAACAATGTTCATCAACCACGTGAGTGTTAATGGACTGCGAGACAAGCTACATTTAGTGAGGGCTAATGAAAGGCCTTTAATATATAAACACTAAAACTGAAAACACCTTAGAAAACCCAGATGTCTGATACAGTAAGTTAGCATTACGGTTACCCAAGATTTCGCAAAAGGCATATTCATCTAAATGTGGAACGAAAATAGACTTAAGTCCCTTAGTCAAGGCCAAGACATTTGAAGTTTGACTTAGAGAAATTTCAAGGAACTGAACTGAACAGATAATGCAGTGAAATGTACATACTAACCTAATTCAAAACTATGCATCGATAATGCAGACTAATTTTAAAAGAATATTTTGTATCGTTAAGAAAACCCAGTATGTATTGAAGCAATAGAGGTAGTATTTGAAAATTGCAGTGGACGCTTTACTAAGGCGATAAATACCAAAATAATGCTAGTCATTGCAGAACCGGAGCTGAGAGCGCTGTAATGATGCTGAAAAAAATAACAGTAAGCGCTGAACTTCATGATGAAAAATGACTCAAAATGTTTAATTATTGAGAGTAATGTGCAAGAACACTTAGCAGCAATATTTTAGCCGCAACTTCAAGTCATTGCAGAATCTACTCGCCATAAGAAAAAGCGTTAGTTAAAAACGTGAGAGCATTAATTCAATATTATTGTAAGCTTGGGTAATTTCCCGGGAATTTAACTTAAACTCCTGGTGATGAAATACCATGTTGACAGTGAAAAACATAATAAAATGGCTTTCCGCTTGCCTACCTTCTTCTCATCATCCGTCAGCTTATACGACTCCAGGCAGTATCTCATGTCAAATGAACCATTACAGACAAAGTGCCTAAAATAAGCGCCACAAGGATATGAGCGGTTAAACAAACATTTCCGTAATATCAAGATGATTGACAGAAAGCATGTTTGGAAGACTACCTTGCCTCCTTGTGTCCCATTTTTACATCGGTGATAAATATTTTAGGTATACCGGAAGACTAAATCGATGATTTGAGCCATCTTTTGGACTCGTCGGTACCACTAGATCTTTTGTTATGGAACGCCTTAATTGTAGATTAGATGCAGTATGAACTAACGGAAATCTTTCAGTGGAACTGAAACTTCTGGGACAGACTCAATTAAGTAAAGCTTTTTGACTTTGATTGTAGAAGGAACATGAAATGTAAAAGTCCAGGAAATCAGAATGAAAGAAATGCTGCCCGAAACTTGAGAACATACTATGTTGATTTTGAAATCGTTACAAGTAACTCCGACAGCTAAAGTGTTACGGCTAAGATAGTCGCTTAGTTAGATTGAAAAGCTCGTGAATTATAGTATAGGATCATTACTGTTAAACATTTACGATTGTTTAACTAGCTAGAGATAACATAAGAACATCCGGACGTAACACGGTCTGCCATATGTCTCAGGAGTTTGCCTGTGTAGCTGGAGCATAACTAACCAACTCTATCAGTGGTAGTCAGCATCTACTGTTGAAGGCAGCCGCAAGATACCGATTTCATGAAACTATACGCCGCTAAGGAATAACAGAATAATTTGGAACTAGGGACTCATTACTTCAAATACTTCAGTTCTCTATTTCCGCCCTTTAAGAAAGTTCCACAAGAAATTACTCTAGTGTGGGTATCATAGAGTCAATAGCAGTATGCAAGAGAAATAACAGAATTTGTGGACTATTTCAGTATAGGGGGAAATGTACCAGCCTCAGTGACTGCACTCAGGGATTCTGAAGCTGGTGCTGTTCCCAGAAGACCAGTAAATGCAACTCAAAATACTGTGGGCTAACACCAACTCGAAAACATCAGAAGACAGATCAGTTACATAAAGGTTGCTTATTGTTCCCCTGACAGTAAACCAGCACGGTAGCACAAATGGTTACAGTACTAAAAGTAACAGCTCCAAAACGTTACGGGTACAAGTACTGCAGCTTCAAAGTCCATAAATAAGCGTCAGTTAATTCACAATAGGAATTGTAACCACCAACATGAACGAAGATGGTTTGTATATGCCAGGTCATTAGACACATTCATTGTTAAAAGCACCCACAGTAGGTTTTGCTAAAGTTGTAGGTCCTGTAGTGTGACAATGCAGTGTACAACAAATTCCGAGTGAATTAAACCGTGCTGAATCGTCATTTATTCCCCTGTATAGTTACTTTAAGATAAAAATGAAGTACAGCTGGCCGAATCAGCAACAAAGGGACAAAATAGTGAGGAATCCTGAAGCTAGTGGGTCTTTTGGATATTTACATTTTGAAATGGCATACAAACTTGGTCACAAATGGTACATAATAGAGGATGCATTGAATGCAGGCCACATCAGTTGTATGAGAGTTACTTATTTATACAGTGGAAAGTCATTCTGAAGTGAATCAGAGTTTATCTCTTGACCCCATAATCCTTAACTCTCTCCTATTCGGAGAAGTTGGAGCGCACTGTGTGTCACCGAGCTGGGGCATAAAAACTTACCAGCATCTCTTGGTTTTCATGTTTCTTCTAGTTCGTCATGATTCTTAGAGGGAACACAAGAGTTATGCTGCACAGAACGAGACTTGTCAGGACAGGTGTAATGCTTTCTAAGGTAAATTGTAGTCAACACTGAAAAGAAAGAATACATCCTACATTTATTCCAACGTTTGCGAATATTATCATCCATTGTTTACTAAGGATATTGGATTCCTAATTTTGTGTTACTTGTTCGATTTTATTCAGAATTGCACTCCTCCTTCTCATGTTTCGTCCAGTATTGTCACAGCTGCTCACAAATTCTTTCCTCTCTGGAAGAGGTCACACTACATACCACGTAGATCACTTCTGATATATCTAGAGTGATCTTTGCCGCCGATTTTTTTCTGGTATAAATATATTTCCTATCTATGTAGGACACACCAGTTGTACAGGTATGGATAGGTATTATTTAAATTACATGAATTTTATTTATAGTGAAATTACATGGTTGCTGTCCTCTCTGACTTCAGTTAGTGAATACAATCTGATAGCTAGTCGTTCAATTGAGCACATTAAGAAATATAGAAATATTGTCTTCACATTAACAAAAAACCCGAGTATGCGTCGGATAAATAACAAATATTTGGGAAAAAAGCAAAGCTTGAAGTCAATTCCTCCATATAACTTCGTTGTGTGCGGCATCCTATCTTGTTCTTGTTTTATGTTGAAATTGGGTATTAATTTAAAATGAGTGATTTATTTTCATGATTTTGACATCATTTTTATTGCAAGTAATACCAGATGTGAATTCAATTGAATGCAGATTAATATTGGTCATTGTCAAGCAGATTTGTTTTACTGCACTGAAGTCACCCAGAGCCTGCCATTTGTCACTGCATGGTTGTTCCGTACAAGTAAGTTGATTAACACGTAGAAAGCTATAATATGAAAATATAAATTATTATTATAATTATCAGGGCTTAGTTTTCTGTATAAATGCGCATTCGAATGCAATTCGAAGGCTTTGTTACTTTTTCGCGTATTATTCCTCAGTTCTTTTTTACTCTATAAGCGGCTTTTTAATAGGTCTCTCGAGGATAGTACTAAATATTTAGTTCTATATTTTTCATAAAATATAACTTGTCCGGCTTTAATTGTCCATTATAGTTAGTGTCTACTTAAGTGCTACTGTTATCGCATCTTTGCATTTATAGTATTTGTAAAGCGTGTCTTCATACTCTATTTCAGTATTTTTATCCGCATAAACTGCTAATTGCGTACCGAACTAGACAGTCTAAATCTCCAACGGACTTTAGAGGTTGCAGGTATCGACGTTCGCATTGTACGGATTATACTGACGCAAGATCTTATACCAACAACTTCTATAGTGTTCGTTCTTCGAGTACCAAAGATAAAGCAAAAGACCAGATTTTGTCATCCAAATTACGTAGTATATTTTGGGACAAAATCGCGGGTACAGGTGAATGCTTAGCTAGCTAGTAATCGTGCACGCACGTGACATGACGGAGTACCAAATGGCGGGGATGCTCGACCGGAAGCCTTCAGCTAAACAAGTCGACTTAAACAGTGATGGTCAGCAACCAATGTTGAGTGATGATTGCTGTGGTTAATAATTTTGGGGAATTACTTACCGCTACAGGAGCTTACAGACACTTTGCTCATTCTCCTATATTTTAGAAGTTTAACTCTGTTCTAAATGCCAAAAATCAAACTTTACTTATAAAGTGATTGGAGGGGATTTTAACATGCCTGAAGTTTCATGGGAGCCCATCAGTGCTCCTCCCCGCTGCAGCAAATTCTTAGATGCGGTTGAGTTATGTGGGTGGACACAAAGTATTCTAGGGCCCACCCGAAACCACAATATACTGGACTTGGTTTTCTTGAAAGACATTGCCTTATCCACTATAGACATCAGCCAACCATTTCCTGGTAGTGACCACAACACAATAATCTGCGCCCTCGATACCAAGCTTCACTCATCAAAATGCTCTACCTTGCGCAAGATATTCATGTGCTTCGGAAAAGCCAGGTGGGACGTATTTAACTCCTTCATTAGAAGCTTAGACTGGGACCTTTTCTTTTCTAGTAACAACCTAGACACCATCCCACTAGCCTTTTGCCAGAATGTAACTATATGCTTTGATAAACTTGTTCCTAAATGTAAAGAGAACCCAAGACAAAACATAAAGAATTTCATTCCTATAAAAGTAAAGGCTAAGCTGCACCGACAAAACCACAAAGAAAATGACTTCTCGTGTCTTGTAAATATACAGAACATTTATCCCAGATTGAAAAAAAATAACGACAAAGTTCTACTCAGACAACAAAATGCAGCCCTTAAAGATAGCTCTAAACACGCTGCAATCTGTAAGCTTTATCGCAAAAGGCTAAACTCTCGTAAAACAGATATACAATTCATCTTAGAAAATGGTGAGACTGCTACTGACCCTAAAATAATTTGTCAGCTTCTAAACTCCTACTTCTCACGGTCATATGCCTATGATGATAATACGTCGCCACAACCTCTATTTCACGTACGTTCACAAAAAACTTTAGAAACTATCAGCTTTTCTTTGGATAATACTAAGAAAGCAATCACGTCCCTTAAAAGTTCAAACAACCCTGGTCCTGATATGATTCCCTCAACTTTTTTAAAATACGGTGGTGAGGACATCCCTATTCTCTTTCTTAAATTGTTCTCTATCTCTCTATCAACTGGAACATATCCAGATGCATGGGAAACCACGCACATTACCCTTAGGTATAAGTCAGGCTCCCGTTCAAGTGTCATGAGTTACAGACCCATAAACCTAACTTCTGTTATTTCAAGGGTTCTGGAGAAGATCGTGAAAAGTGCCATTTTTGACTTCCTCTCTCAAGAGAAACTTATCACTCCTTATCAACATGATTTCATGAAGTCACGTTCTTGCATGACACGCCACTTACAATTTTTCGATCACATCTCACAACTTAAAGATTCCAATATGATCACAGTTATTGTATACTTAGACCTTAGTAAAGCCTCTGACACAGTAAGCCACCGATTGTTAATATCAAAAGTCCAGTCTTATGGGATCCAAGGTTCTTTGTTAAGCTGGCTCAGTTCATTCCTAAGCAATCGGATGCAAATGGTCAGGTTAGGTTCCCACACATCCAACCCCGTTCGGATAACAAGTGGAGTCATACTAGGTAGTGTCCTAGGTCCACTGTTATTCCTGTTATATTTCAATGACATTTGCGACGTTATTAGACATGGCAGACCTTTCCTATTTGCTGATGACATCAAAATAGTATACCACTCACTCAGAAATGAAGTGTCATGTGTATTTGATGGGGTTCAGGATGACATTGACAGGGTTCAAATGTGGTGTAACACGTGGAAAATGAAGTCAAACGTTGAAAAATGTGGTGTGCTATGCTCCAAAGGTATTTCATCCCAACTTTCCATCTCCCTAGACAACAATCATATTCCTCGTCTGCCGCTTACAACAGACTTGGGTCTGAAAT